AACGGGAGGGAGGGAGAGGAGCGGTGGTGCGCGAGCGTCGGCGGTCGGCGGGAGGGCGGGAGAGGAGCAGCGGCGCACGGGGACTAGCGGGGGGGAGCGGCGCGCGGCGGCCCCTAGGTGGGGGGGAGAGGAGCGGCCGCCGTCGCTTGGAGAGGGGAGAGGAGAGAGAGATGAAGAGGGGAGATGAGGAGAGGAGGAAGAAGGGGGGTGAGTTGGACTGACATGTGGGGCCCACGTGGGTCCCACCATTTTTTATTATTTTCTGTGTGAGACTGACATGTGGGGCCCACGGGGTTTATTATTTTTCCGGATCGAATTGCCACGTAAGCGCCACGTCAATGACACGTCAGATGAAGACCGAGTCAAGTGAGCCACGTAGGCGCCACGTTAGCCAAAACCACCCTCAAAACCGCCGAGGGACCTAATCTGCACCGGTTTCACCGGTTTTGATAGTTGAGGGATATGTTGTGTCCGGTTTTCTAGTCTAGGACGTAAATCGGATTCTTTGACAAGTTAAGGGACCTCATATGAACTTATTCCTCCGCAGGAAGGGCCCGTGGTCAGTTATTCCGGCCCACTAGTGATCCTCTCAATTTTACCGACTAAACCAATATATAGTCGGCAACTACTCTCCACCAGGATAAATTCAGAGAACGGCGGAAGAGACCGTAAATTGGCTGCTCGTCGAATTTGCAATCTTGGAGGGCGCCGCGGTGCTGTGCTCCCGGCGGAATTGGGAATTTGAGATGGAGCAGCAGTTCATCCTCCGTGTGCCCCCTCCGTGGCGGAGCGGATCGAACGCCTCATGAACCAAGCCGCCGGCGCGTCATCCTCCAACCCCGACGACGCCTCCCTCGATCTCTCCTTCTCAGGTGATTCTTTCTGTCAGTAGAATTTAGCTTCCGCATGCGCGTAGGCCTGTCGTATAACAGCTGCGCGTCAAAAGCTATGGTTTTGTTGGGAATTCGCTAGCGAGGTACCGTGACCCTACGCTGTTCGGCGAAATGCGCATACCGTTTATGCTGTGCGAGTGCAAGTGGAAAACCTCCGTTCTGTGCTTGTGGAAGTGCGGGTACACCAGGGAACGCTTCCGATGGGTTGTTCCTCACTTGAGTGGACATATGCTGGTGTGTTGTCATATAGGTGTTAGGTCATAAGTCCGCAGTATAGCGTGTTGGTAGATTTTTTTTATTGGTACTGTATTTTCAACGCAGCAAGAATTATCTTTCCTGTACACATATATTAAAGGGCAATGCTTTGCAAGCTTGTGGTTTCTGATGCGGGTTACCAGTTGCGGGGATCTGATCTCTGTGCTCTTTACTCTTTACCTGCAGAGATCTGAGAATGATGACATATTGAGTAATCCATTTAGCAGCAGATGCCATATTTAAATAATACATTATGAAGGGAATGCAGATAATAGCACACTTTACGATTTTGGAAATCTTGTTTCCTTGTATCATTCTCTTAACGTTTCCTTTTTCCACAAATGTAATATTTGCTACGGTTACTTTCTAAGACGTCCAATTGCCTAATCACTATTAGCAATATAAAAAATGACTAAAGTCCAGTAATTATACTTTGAAGAATTTGTATCTTCTCATGGTGTAATGCAATGTTCTTACTCGACAGGTTCTACTCTTTAGATTCTGGAAATGTGGTTTGTGCTAATATTTTCTAAAGCATTCTATTTGTGCATGTCTAGTTTCTCTACTCACTTCTAATTTTGGTTCAAAACAATGGTCTATTTCTGTTTGATGGATACAACTTGTATTGTAATACTCTAGTACTGTTATCACTGAAATTTTCAGTTAATCTTTTTTGACTTGTGGATTGGTGTTCTTTTTTCGTGCTACAGAGGATGGAAGAAGTGGCACATTTATGATTGGAAATGAAAGCTTTCCAGCATCTCTCTTAGATCTCCCAACTGTTATGGAGTCATACAAGACATACAATGATTCAGTGCTAATTAAAACAGCTGATATTGGTCAGGTAAAAGGATAAGATTTGTTTAAGATCTGTTTTATCAATTGTAGGCTTTTAAGAATCTTACATTGAGTTTGTAACAGATGATTATGGTAAGAGAAGAAGATGATCCTGCTCCAGAAGGAATTGAATACACACATGGTCTTACTCCTCCAATGAGGGATGCACGAAGGCGGCGTTTCCGGAGAGAGCCTGACTTAAATGTATTCAATGCCTTCCCTTTAGCTCCTCATGGAAGCACTTTGTCAATCATAACTGTTATTGTTCCATTCACTCATGTTTACAGGCAGAACTGGTTCACCGAGTTGAAAAGCATCTCATGAATATTATGCATGGAGTATCTGTCAGTATCCTTTTGGTTTTGATGGTTTTATCAAATTATAGCATATGTTACCTTAATTACAGTTGAGTAAAAATTTAATTGTTTTTTATTTATATATCTTTAGTTGACAGGTTTTTTGTCGTTTAGTTTGTAATTGGCTCATGAACAACCATTGCTTGAAGTTACTGCTTTTTAATCAGAAGTTAATAAACTATATATAATAATGAGTTCCTTATCTTGATGACAATGGTAATACCATGAACTTTTTGAGCATGGTGCCGAGCCTAAACTTCAACATCTCGTATTGTTGGAACTTGGAAGGCAAGCATCATTTTCTTGGTAGGCTGTTATGTTGAAATAACAATACCTGCTACTAGTTATCTGACTGCTTCTGGTTCACTAATTGACTGGTTCTTGTTGAGCCATTCCATGCCATGTTTACGTATGAAAATAATTTTTGCTATATGTATTCCTATCACTGTATGTGCAAGATTCCTTGACTCAGTTGATAGACCAGAATGCTAGCGTAATTGGAGCGGGAGAAGGTGGCAAGAAAGCTGCACCTGCTCCAGCAACCAAGCGTAATGTTCAACGACCCGCTGCAAACGGTGAAGAAGCTGAGGCAGAGAGGAGTGACTCTGATGAGTCTGTTGACCCATGAATTCAAGTGGAGTAGAGTAAATAATCCTGCTCCAATTGCCCGAGCACACCCAATTGACTTAGCAGTTCAGAAGTCTATATCAGAAAATGAATATCCGGACCAACTAGGGCATGCTCACTGTTAAGGTTTTGCAATATTCGTGTAAAATTTAATGCGATACATGAGATTTAAGATGAAACGATATCAATGCTCGTGGATGAAAGAATAGCTAGGGCAGTCAGACATTTTCTTTACTCTTTGTAGCCATGAATGGTGATGGCCATAGCACAATAGTGACGCAGATTCTGTATCAGATTGTTTCTAAGTTTTTGGAACGAGTTAATTCGTCCGAAGTAAACAAAAATAGTTGATTGCAGCTCCATCCTGTTTAGCAGAGGTAGCAGGTTGGAGAATGCTGTAGAAATGAAAGTCGTAGACCTCAGATCTGATGTGGTCAATATCCTACAAATCTACTATAGCTCATCGCTGATTGGTCCTTTGCACCGAACTGGTCACCATATAGACTTGTTTCTGGCACCTAAGTCAGGTTTATATGAAAGACAACTAAATACAAAGACGAATAGGTATATGAACATTAAATTGTTCGGCATGTATTAATCATCATTTTATACTAGGATGTTTGTAAAATTAGACGGTTAACGAGAGCATGCGTACGTAGGAATGAACTCAGTAAGATCACAACTCACAACCAACGCAAATCCTTGCACCATTTCATATACTCCTATGCGTCAGAACAACTAATATTACAACAAGGCTTGTCTGCTTATATCTCTCGCACCATTTATATGATATGGAGCCCCTTGTTTGTGTTGGCATGCACTTGTCTCCTCTAATAAAATAGGGTTATAATCATTTTTATTTAATTTAATATGGTTTGTTTAGCCCATAAAAATATTTTCAGCATGCGGGTAATCAAACATGATAAATTTTAACTCATAATATAATAAAATTGATATTAGTAGATTTTTTATAAATACCTTTTATTTTATTTCAATAAATATATTATTGAAAGAAGTACTCCATCCATATACTTTTGATAGACATATTTTCAAATTTGAAAAATTTACTTTTGATAGGCATATTTCAATCCAACCACCTATCCTCTTAATGACTTTCTTGAATTTAATGTGTGACTATATATTCTTCCACACAATATTGGCTACATGGGCATCGAAAAATGTAAATATTAATGAATCGTTTGTTTACGAGGAATAACTAGTAGCATATTTAAATGGTTACTTATCATCGGTCAATTGTGCCAAGATGAAATATAACTATCAAAAGTAGATGAAGTGAGTAACATTCAATTATGGGCATCGATGTGTGTGTGGTACTGTGGGGTGTGTGTATGGATGATGTAATGTGTCCCATAATTATGAGATTTTAGATTGTTTTGGAAAATAAGGAGAAAGAAAAAAAAGACAATGATGTCTCATTAAATGAGGTATAGTTAGGGGTGAGAAAGTAGTTGGGTGTAATATGAAAAAAATGAATGATGAATGAATGATGTGATAATAATATTCTAGAATCTTTTTATTGTGTGATAAGTAACATTCTAGAATCTTTTCATTATACAATGAAACACTTTTCCCTCTCCCAGCCTTAGTGTAACAGTTGCAACTTTTGGTCCCACGTAAAAATGGGAGCCCTTATCCAAAGCTCAAACTCATTACATACGTCTTGGCATGTCATCTCGTAAGCCTCATGGTACAGCCTAGAGTAATTTTTTTAGTCGATTTTATATGGTAATTGTACTTAGATGTTTAACATTAAATTTCTCATGTGACCGGGCCTGGCTTGGATTAAGCAAGTTTTATCCATGCAAGGTCAAGTATGGATATGAGCTTCAGGGCGCTCTTGGATTGCAGCGTGTGCGCGCTCGACGTTATTTACCCTGTGTCGTACACGTTGACTGTACGAAGATCGTAGGCAAAATGTCGTATATACGTAGCATTTTTCATACTATTGGAAAGATTATCGGCGACAAAAGTAGAATTTATGTGACAGGAACGTGACTAAAAAATGGAAAGATCGAATGAGTTAGAGCTAGCTGTTCTGCTAAAAATTTTGTAGCACGCAAAGCGAGATAAGTCACTAATATATGATTAGTCACTTTTGGGATTCCCTGACTCCCGTGCCACTCACTCTAGGCGACACGGGAGGCGAAAAGGCCGTGTGCGCGGGGGCTTCCCGGCCGCGTCCGCTCGCGTCGCCGCTGCCGACGGCGGTTCCTCTCTCCTTCTTCTTCCTTTCTCTTCTCTCCCTCCCTCATTTTCTCCGGATCTGGGGTTTCCGGCGGTGACGGCTGCTCCTCCCCACTCGGCACCAGCGGCCTCCTTGTCCCGGGACGACGGCGAGGGCAGCACGGGGACAGCTGGATATGGCCGGTGGTCCTCTCCTCCGGCCAGATCTGGGGTGTCTCTAGTCACCTCCGGCTTCGGTGGCCTGCCTCCCTGCATCCGGTGTTGTGGCAGCGTTATGGCATCGGCCGGTGGTGGTGGTGTGAGGGGGATGGCCGGACCTGGCTCCTCTAGGTCCAGACCCGACGCGTCCTCAGTCGGGGTCGGGTGAGGTCGGGCCCCCGATGGTGGCGGCGAGACGACGGAGTTTGGGCGGCCTGTGTGGCTGTTAGGTGGAGCCGGACTGTTGGCGCCGTCAGTCCGGCTCCGCCTCTCGTTGGAGTCAGGCCATTGTGCAGGTGATGTGAATAGCCAGGTGACATTTGGTGGCTTCCGCTATGGTTGCTATGGTTGAATGGGACTCCGAGGTAAAAGCTTTGCTCTGCTTGCCAGTGCTAGCAACAGCGATGCCCTCGAACGTCGTTCACCTTCTTATAGGTGTTGCTATTGGAGCTTCAACTCTATTTTAAGGGAATTCTCCGGGTGAAAACCTTAGATTCGTTTGGATCGGACGGTGTCACCGTTCTGTCGATGTAACCTTCTTGAATGCTTCGTTTTAGGAGTTTTTTTCCCTTGTTGGACTGCTGTTCTTGGGTTCATTATGTCAATGTGAGGGTTTTCGCTGGTTATTTATAAATTGACCGTGCCGACGTAAGGTTTTTGATCCGATTTTCCTTATAAACCGTGAATTGTAGGAGCTCCTTACTTGTTCCCTCAAAAAATAATATATGATTAGTCAAATATTAATTATTATAAACTTGAACTATATATATATATTGATTTTCTAAGAGATTTTTTTGGCACAAAACACCCCGTTTAATTGTTTGAAAAGTGTGCTAAAGGAAAACGAGAAAGATATTCTAAGAAACCGACACTTAATTAGTTAATGCAAAGTTTCATTGAATATAGTAGAAAAAATTATAAGACTATAACCTGATAGATTAAAGTTAGGAAAAGAAAAAAATAACACCACCATCACGCACCGATGCCGCTATCCCACACAACTGAAGGAAGGTACTAGTTCCTGAAAAAAATTAGAAGTTTGAAAAAAAGTTGAAAATTTATGTGTGTAGGAAAGTTTTGGATGTGATACGATGTGATGTGATGAAAAGTTAAAATTTGGTGGTAGTTGAGGGTGAACTAAACACGGCCGTAGTCTAGTACCGATCTGATCGCCGCGATGCGGAAAGATGTCAACTCTAGTTGATATTTGCATCATTGCATGCTCATTCGAACTGGTCCTATATAACTCACTTCATGCCAGCGCGCTCAGTCTACAACGACACCTGCTTCTTTGTATGTTAAATCATCTACTTTTCCAACAACTGCTCATTTGACTTCAAAATCGGCATCTATAGGCCACAACTTGTCCCTCTTGCTAGATCACATCATTCTGTTTGGAGATGGCGATATCTAGAAGGCCAATAAGTACCTCTCGTGCTCCTGTCCTCTTTTTCAGACTCTACTGTTTTTCGTTCGTTTCCAATAGCTTAAGCTTTGCTGCATTTGCTTTTGCCTGTGGTGCGTAGACATTATGCCAGACGTAGAGGCCGGCTCAGTTGTTGATCCTCCTCAAGCACGAAGCTGCTGCTGCTGTGCCTGTCTGCGAGGCAACACAGGGAAGTTCCTTCTGCGCACGGCAACTGTGGTTATCCTGTTCCTCGCGGTCCGTTTTGGCTTTGCTCGTCATAGCGTCGGGGCAAAGTTAGCTGTTGAATCAGTGGCCTACGTCGCCACTGCTTGCTTATACTTCTGCTCCTTCTCAAGCTGGAAGGAGAAGACGGTTTCCGGAACATTCCTTGCTGTAGTTACTGTAGTGGTCGTGAGTGTGGAAGCAACCACTGGAAATGACCATGGCGTCGCCATTTTGATCGGCACGATCGTGGCTCTCGTGGTGTACTGCATCTGGAAGCCTTATCAAGCACTTCTCTCCTGCATCGAGCGTCGCCTCCGCCGCAAGGCGGCGGCGGCGGCTACTGCGGCGGAACCACTACCACCGGAGAAGAAAGAAGATGCGGGGCGTCCCCTTGTGCAGGCGGAGCGGCTGCGCGCCGCGTTTCGCATCGACGGGCTGCTCCGGGAGTACTCGCACGGCGAGATCCAGGCCATGACCGACAACTTCGGCTGCGTGGTGGGCCGAGGCGGCTCCGCCACCGTCTTCAGGGGCGTCCTCGACGACGGCACGGCGGTCGCCGTCAAGCGGATCGTCTGTGATGAGTCCGTCGGCGAGGCCGACTTCCTGAGCGAGATCACCATCGTCGCCAGCGTGCACCACTACGCGCTGGTAGGCTTGCTCGGATACTGCCTCCAGCCCGGCGGCGGCCGGTACCTGCTGTACCCATTCTACGAGAACCGGTCGCTCGACTACTGGCTCTTCTCCGGCGAGGAGCGGAGGCGCCACGTCGCCGTCGACGTCGCGAAGGGGCTCGCGTACCTGCACCACGAGTGCAAGAACCAGATCCTTCACCTGGACATCAAGCCGGCGAACATACTCCTCGACGGCGACTTCCGGGCGCACGTCTCCGACTTCGGCATCTCCATGTCCATCGGGAGGGACCTGACCAGCGTCGACACGCGCTGGAGGGGCACCCTCGGTTACATGGCGCCGGAGATGCTGGTCAACGCGCTGTCCGCCAAGTCCGACGTGTACAGCTACGGCATGATGCTGTTCGAGCTCGTCGGCGGACGCCGGAACTTCGAGCTCGCGGGCAGCGGGGGCGCCTCGCAGGCGCGGGCGCCGCCGGATTTCACCAAGGAATTCCTCCCGTGCGTCATGCGGGACAGGATGGAGGAAGGCCGGCTCATGGAGGTGGTGGACGCCACCATGGCGCGCGGCGACGGCGGCGGCGCGGCTGGCGTCGACGAGGAGGAGGTGGAGGTCGTCGTGAAGGTGGCGTTGTGGTGCACGCAGCATAGCCGGGACATGAGGCCCGGCATGACGGACGTCGTGGACATGCTCGAAGGGCGCGCCCCCATCCCGCCGCCGCCTGTTCGTCCTGAATTTCTCGGAGACACCTTCCTCGTCAGCTGCGCGCGGACAGCTATGAGCCGGTGATATATGCATGAGTGGTTTGTGGTATGCGACTATATTGCTATTTGTAGCACGAATGATCGCTGAGTACTTTTACACACTTATGTTATCAATATTTTCACGATAGGACTGTCTAATGATCATTCGAATGTTTTTTTTTTACCCCATATCAGTCAAAATATGAACGGTTTGATGGCTGCCATCTGGCGTGAGACACTAGATGAAAAACCGAATGATTTCTTGACTCAATCTTATAGTAAAAAAGGTAAAAAAAAAAGTAAAGTACAATGTCGATCCTTAAAGCTAGAATGAGGTGTCACTTAGCTTCACTATCTTGTAAATCAGACATTTAGGTTTATGATCTTGTTTTAATAAATCATCACGAGTTTAAAACATGTCTGACTGTGTTGACCATTGACCGTTGACGTAGTCGTCTAGTGTGGCAGCAACTTTGTAGTTAGCCTCATCCACACCCAGTTGACCCACTTCTCAAAATATTTCCTCTATCCATAGCAATAGCTCCCACTCCCCCTCCCCCTCCGCTCGGCACTATTGTGATGACTCCAAGGGCGATGTCAGCGATCATGGGCACTCTGTGGTGGACGGAGATGCGATTTGGGTAGCACGTTTGGTCGGCAGTCGATAGGTTGATGATGGCGGTGCAATCGGTGGTGTCGAGGCGGGAGATGAACCTAACCTTGTGGGAGGACGAGTGAAGAAAATACGACCCGATTAGCATACATCATTGCAATGAGCTCACTGTGTTATTCTTGCGGCAGTAAGGGCACAATCAACGAGAGATCGGGCCTTTTTCTCTTGGCACTTGTAGAAGACATGCTGCTTCAAGTAGCCATGGCCTCTCCTACCGGCACACTTTAGGAATACCCCTAGCCGCCTCCCTTGTTAGCACCGTCCTACCCGCCTCCTTCATCGTTGCCACCCTAACCGGGTCTCCGCTACCATCCTTGTCACCGCTACCGCAACCATAAATTGAAACAATGAAGAAGAGATGATATTTGAGGAAGAAGCGGATCGACTAGGTACGGAGGGGGCCAAGTGCAAAGTTATGGCCACACTGGACAACCATGTATGCATATCAGCCCAGTCGGATGGGCTTTGAACCCATGATGATTCATTAAAACAAGATTGTGGATTTAAATAACTCCTTGCCCAATTTTAAAGATCGGCGGTGTACTTTACTTTAAAAAAACTAACACCTAGATTAGTAATATTATTGCTTCATTTTCTCCCTGTGGGAAAACTATTTTATACTTTTGAGGGACATCATTTCGTTGTTTACATGTCATCTAAATAGTTGAGAAAAAAATTAAAAAAATCAATAAGATAAATTAATATATGATAAACCACTTCACAAACATACAAGATCAAATTTTACTTCTATAAGTTACAACGAAAAAAATTATAACTGTGAATATGCGTTAACTAGACATAGTTTAATTTATTTTTTTCGTTGCAACTTTAGAAGTTAAATTTTAACTTGCATGTTTGTTGATTGATTTATCACATATTAATCTAATTTTGTTGATTTTTTTTTCATAATTATTTGAGTGACACACAAACAGCGAGATAAGAGTTATATTATGTATCCTATATTATGTGTGCATACAACACTGAGAAAGAATTACTCATAATAACATAGACATTTCAGACATATATTATGTATCATATAATAGTTTTCAGTTTTACACTACATAAGAGTTTGCACTGCATATTTTTGCATATTTTCCCCTTCTAGTTCACCAAACGTTTCAGTATCAGAAAACCCTGATCCCAACATACAACCCCCGCTTGTTCCAACTTACAAACACAACGGTATGACATCTGACAAAATGCAAAGTTGACATATCTAGGATATGATAACTACGGTGTTATGGACTCATGGTCTCACGAAGTCCTGTTGAAGCCAACAGCATTCTGAAACAAAGATATATCAGCAGTTCACAGAGCAGGAACCTCGACAAAAAAGGGACACTGAGGTAGAATCTTGCAGGACCTTCTGAAATTTGATTATCCACCACTCATGGCTCCTACAGTTCAGAAAAAAAGATAGCATAAAGATCAAACATAGAACAGAAAATCGAAGGAAGAATAGACTCATCTATGACGATGCTAAAAAATGTACAATATGATTCTTAGTGTCATAGCAGCTATCTGTATAATGTGTGACGTCAAGATTTGCATATATTCATCTACATCTGCACCATAAGACCATAAACACGTCTTTACTGGATATATATGTTATTACTGTCAACTGTTAAGCATCTGAGCTGGGAAGTATAAACACGGGTATTAAAAGCAGCCAGACTTCACTAACTACATGTGTGAATACACACATGGTGAAGTATGGTTGTCTTGTCTTTTTGTGCATAGACCAATTCTATGGTATCAAGTGAAAATTTTACACTTAGAAATGCTGAAATTGTTTACCCTTGTCTATATATAATAGAAAGAAACCTCATAACAACGTATAGCTGATAAATCATAACAACTTATCATTGTTTAGTTAGTTGGCAAATGGTGTCCTATTAAATACTCCTAACATGAATAGATAAAAAATTGATTACTTCAGTGCAATAGTTCAAGTGATAGGTGTCAGAATAAACTGTTTTCATAAAAAAGATAGCCCGAAGCCCCACACCAAAATCAAATAAAATAATAAGTGAGGAATGCCATGCATAACAAGAAGCTCACAAGGCATTCAGTTTGCAGTCATATGGACAAGCGCATTACTGAATGTTCTCTGTCAGATCAGTACAGGACCATAGTGAACCTAACTATATGTCGAGCAGAACAAAGCCACACATTGAAAGGTGAGGAAGGGGGAGTGATTTTGAAAATGTAATGATATAAGTAGGTTAAATAACTCATTTGATTAATACAGCCCTTTGTTCGAGTGCTAGAAATCTTACGGTCTGACAAATTAATTGACTGATCAATCAAGAGAATAGAATGTACTCCATCCGTCCCAAAATATAAGGGATTTTGATTGGATGGGACATATCCTAATAATACAAGTCTGGACAAGACATCCTAATACTACGAGTCTGGACAGGCTATGTCCCACCCAATCAAAATCGCTTATATTTTAGGACGGAGGTAGTATAAGACTACAATCGTTTTGATTGGGCAAGATTATAGTTGCGTAGATGCACTATAATCATTTTGATTGGGCAAGAATATAGTGGTGTAGATACAATACAAGTACTATAGTGCTACAGTGTATAACAAAGACAACTATAAAGAAATTCAAATGTACCCGTGCAATGGAAATGGCACTTCCATTAGTTAAATTGAAGGCACTTACTATCTTGAATGGGGAATGCACACAACATCAGATCTTATTCATAGACATATATAGTGATATGTATTCCCAAAAAAAGGTAGATTAACAATGCAATGAAAGAGGAGCGTCTTAATGACAAAATGACTCTCCTGACTCAGTGTTCTGTATGATATGTCTGCCTGAATTCATGACAACTATTTATTGGTCCACTATCCACATGCAGTTTTTTTACACAACACTAGCTAAATACTCGTGCTTTCTATGGATTAAAATATATTATATGTGTGCTAATATTGCTTGGAACAGATTAGTTTGATGGTTTGGGGAGAATTTTGTCCCTATATGTGTCTTTGTATAATAAACATGTGCTGTAGAAATGAAATAAGATAGAGTTAGAAGGACTATTTTTAATATTAAAGCATATGAAAGAAGAGTAGGTAAAAACATGGAGTATTTGGTAAAATAGTACTCTACACAATAGAGTTGGTGGGGTGACAGATTCACTACCACCATCATTGCCTTCTTTCGAAAGGAGTAAAGATAAGTGAACAAAAATGTCAAAAACAGATACCAGAGACCAGCACAGTTCAAGATAACAGCAAACAGTGAATCAAACTAGTACTTGGAGCCTGGTATTTTACTGAACGACAGAAGTTCAACTCATATTGTTGGAAACATAAAATGGAGAGGAACTAAAGTACACAGAGATATACAACTGGATCCGAAAATAATCTGATGATATACTGAATACTCAGTTCAACACATTATTTTGTGTTCCTCTTATGACGATTGAGCACTTTTTGAGCTTGCTCGAACTAAGTATGTACAGGTGGAATGCCACGTTACATAATGGGGCCAGGCTTAGGGCCCATAAATAAAATTTTCCGATCCGTTCAAATAGTTGATCTGCATGTTCAATTTGTGATATTTCTTTTATTTTTTTTATTTGAGCTAGAGGGAGGAAACCCCTCTCCTTTCCATTAGAAGAAATGCATAACAATGTTTCTACCACACCACACCACATTCAGTAATGCGCAATACCTAACGCCATCCCATCAGGGGAATCAGTGTTGCCAGAAGGAAAGGTTTAATCACCATTGACCAGAACAAAAAGCCTCAAAAGTTTCTACCAGCAACAGAGCAACATAGTCACTAGCACAATTAGCAGTGCACGCAAGCCATTTTCATACACCATCCTTTTTCTGAGCATTGCCAGGTGCAAAAATAACCAAGCAGGAAAATGTTGCCATCAACTTATCCCCATCATCCTAGGAGCCCAACTGTGAATAGACTGATAGTCCATCCACTGAAATTTGCATTGTGCTCCTGATCAGTGATCACCAACGCACCCTACAAATAACATTTCAACACAAAACGCCCCTTTCCACAGTCACTATCCTCCTTTGTGCAAATCGGACACACCGAAATTACGTCGCGGGCACAGCCTACATCCCACCCGAACTTGGCAATATCCATCATTGCTATTAACATTCGAAAAGGACTGCCTTTTTGCAAAGAAAATGCAAAGATTTTGCTACGCTATAAACAGACGCGATGAGTACAGATTCCAGGGGGTTCACTGAAATGCTAAAGAGCAGGATTAAGAGCAAAAGCACACTGCCAGATGTTACCTGCTTCACCTTAACCACGCCGGCGAGGGCGGCCCCGTGCTCCGCGACCATCCGGTCGAGCTCGTCCAGCGTCGCGGAGTCCGCCCTGTCCAGGTCCACCTCCATCATCCCGTTCACCTCCCGCAGGCACCCGTCCCGCTTCTTCATGATCTCGGCCACCGTCACCTGTGCACCCACCGGCAGCCGCGGGAGCAAACCACTGAGCCTCCGCTTGCGCTCGGCGTCGGGCGGGCGCGGTGGCGCCGCGAGAACGGAGGGCCACCCGGCCTCGAAGATTTCGGAGAGCTCGGCGGCGCTCTCGTACACGGGGTCGCCCGCGCTGTTGTAGGACATGGCGTTGTTGAAGGTGAGCCGGACGTCGGCGGCGAACGCCCACGGGTCCGCGTAGCGGCGGCGCTCGAGGCGGCGGCGGACGGTGCCGAGGTCCATGGGGTCGGAGATGCGCAGGTAGTAGTCGACGAGGCGGAGGGCGCGCGCGTCCACCGGCTCGGCGAAGACCCACCCGTCCTCGTGCTCCAGGAGCTTGTCCAGGAGCTTGCCGCAGCGCAGGAGCGCGTCGCCAAGATCGGCGGGAACTCCAGCGACGCCAGGAGACGCCGCGGCCACCGCTGGAGGCTGCAGCTCCGGCAGATGGTGTTTCCGCTCCGTGGGGAAGCCAGGCGGCGCCGGCGGCGGCAAGGGCGACCGGCGGCGCTTTGGGCGAGGCATAGTAGGGCTGGAGGTGGCTGGAGAACGAGGAGTGTGTGGGGCTTTGGGGCTTTTGGGATTCAATCGTGGATCAATTTCACGCGGCCAACGAGAAATTGGACATTCTGCCCCTATCAAAAGAGGGTTTCGCTATAATGCCATTTCGCCCATTAGATTCGTTAAAATGCCATCCCCAAGCTATGCCAAGCATTTTTTTTTTGCCATATTCACCATATTCACTCCATTTCCACCAATTTTTGCCCTCGGACTGACCAAAATACCCCTTTAGGACTGCTGCTTCTTCTAGCTCAGCTCACTCTATTTTCAAGCCGAGGAAAGGGGATCCAGCCGCCTCCGGTGGGAAATTTAACTTGTTGCCTTATTAAATCCTATGATGATGATGATGAACATACATGCAACAACAAGAACGAACCTCCGCTCAAAAAGAAAGATAAAAGAATGAACTTGTCCATGAAGAATATATACACAACCAGATCACAACTCATGTACGCGTGTGTAGAAAGAAACATTGAAGATGTGCTCAGCACGATGGCGGATGCGACGGCGGACCGGGATGCGACTGGCCCGTCCCGGTGTACACGCCGGAGGAGAGCAGCATCACGAAGGCGGACGCGGTCTCCGCCACGCGGCGCCTCCCGCGCGACGAGATGAATGCCATCCGCTCCCGGTGCATGCGCGTCAGGTCGGCCGGAGCAGCTCGAACCGCGCCGACTTGCCGCTCGCGCCGGCCGAGGCCACGGCGACCAACAACACTGCCGCCGCCACCACCACCACCCCAACCAGCACCACCATGCGGCGGCGGCTCGCCATTCCCGACCCACCGCTCGCGGCTAGCTAGCAAGCTAGCCTGCCTCGCTCCCCGCCAAAAAACGCGCGATATAGTCCACTGGGACTGGGAGATCAACATGGCAACGGGCGTCGCGGCGACGGCGGCGCCAATGTGCTAGAAGAAGGGCTGAGCTGGAAGAAGCAACCCAAAGGGGTATTTTGGTCAGCCCGGGTACAAAAATTGGTGAAAATAGAGTAAAATGGTGAATATGGCAAAAGAAATGTTTGGCATCACTTGGAGGTGGCATTTTAATGAATCCAATTGGCGGAATGGCACTATAGCGAAACCCTCTTTTGACAGTGGCAAAATGTCCAATTTCTCGTGGCGAACGGTGCCAGGGCCCAGCTGTGAAAAGTGTGAAACTATACACCAAAAGTTACCTAAAATTCTAGTATTTTCTAAATCTCGTTTTAAAATATTTAATAGAATTGAATTTAATGATGATAAGATATACTTCGATATAAGAAGCACCTCCAAACTCCCGTTTTAAAATTATAAATCTAATTACACTAATTTGGAGTATTAAATATAAACTAATTATAAACCTAATTACACGGATATAGGTTAATTTGTGAGACGAATCAATATGGACGATGTTAGAAAGTCTTATAACCTGAAACGGAGATAGTAGAATTGTATTTAATGATGATGAGATATACTTCGATATAAGAACCACCTCCAAACTCAACATAGGTCGTCTATCTCCTTTCCCCTTGTGGATATAACGTATCCTTCCCTTCCTGCAATCTAGTCACGTGGATACGGCAGCATGCTCTGCTTCACCGCTCAATTCATCGGTGATAGTGGGATCGGATGCTACTACGTCATCAAGCAGTTTCTTAAGCATTTTTCTATCAAGGTTGGAAGTTATCTAAAATATATATTTGGAAGTTTTTTTTTAAGATTTTGAGGTTTTACAGTTTTTTTAAGTCGTTTATGGATATTTCTCAAATTAGATTCAGATCTAGTAAGATTGTTTGACTCTATGTCTTTACAACCTGATATTTTACGATATAACAACGGTGAAAACTGAGTTGGGAAAAAAAATCTAACCCACAATCAGTTTTATTTGTTTCGATGTACCCAAACACTAAATCATTCACATGTGCCCCGATTATCACCACTTAATAAAAAGAAAAAGGAAGTTGCTAGAAAAAAGTGGCGACATATCACTAGGAAAAAAACATGTCGATTTTTGGACCATCCAATAGCCTTAAGATTCGTGCTACACGAAGAAAAAAAAACAAAAGGAAGCTGCTAAAAAAGTGATGACATGTTATTAGGGAAAAACATGTCGATTCTTGGATCATCCAGTAGCCTCAAGATTCGTCGATTTTTGGACCATCCAATAGCCTCAAGATTCGTGCTATACGAAGGAAAACAAAAAAACAAAAAGCCCGTGCCACACACTTTAGGCTTCGACTTGGCACAGAGGGATCGGGCTCCTCCGCTTGTCATCCCGGAACCAGAGCGCCTTGCAGCGGAGATAGCCGAAGCCCTTGATCTCCCCTTCCACGCTGAACTCGGCCGCCCCCACGATCTGCCGCTCGCTCCGGATCAGGCCGCGCAGCTCCTCGCGCACCGACGTCGCCTCCGCGCTGGCCACGCCGTCGGCCCGCTCGCCGCCCGCCCGCTTCCCGTGGACGCAGAACCGCGGCACGCGGCCCATGGCGACGGCCATGCCGTGGTACGACACCTCAAGCACGGAGCCGCCCCCTCCGACGCACGCGTGGTAGTTCTCGGCGAGGCCGACCACGCCCATCTCGAGGCGGAACGCCGGGGGCGCCGGTGGTGTCGTCGAGCCCGTCGGCGCGGGCGAGGACGAGGAACGGGGTCGGGGCGGGCGGGCGGATGATGTACTCCAGGAGGAGCACCAGTGAGACGCTGAACAGCACTATGCAGGCGACGGCGAGCATGGTCATGGGACTACATGGGTTTTCTTGTGGAGGGATTTTGCCATTGCCGTCGTCCGGTCTGCGCACTTCTTCGCCGATCGATGTCGATCTGCACTTCGTCGCCACCGGTGCCGCCGCACGCCGTGCACTTTCGCTCGCTCGCGGCACCCATCTAGTAGCAGCGTCGCTTCGGTACCGTGGAAGGTAGGTTTGTCTAGACATCGCTAGTCCTTTAATTTGTTCTTTTAGGCCCCTTTCAATGAAAGGATTTATTTAGAAATTTTATAGGATTCAAATCCTATAGAAAATTTTCCTATTTGGCCCTTTGATTCAAAGAATTGAAGCTTTCTAAATCCTATGAAATTCCTATGGAATGGCACATTGCATGTGGATTTTGGAGGAAATTTAGCAAGAGCTCCAACCTCTTGAAAAATTTCCTTTGAGTCTATCTCTCTCATCCGATTCCTGCGTTTTTCCTGCGCTCCAATCAAACGACCATTCCTGTGTTTTTCCTATGTTTTGCAATCCTCTGTTTTACATTTCAATTCCTGTCAGAATCCTGTGTTTTTCCTATTCCTCCGTTTTTTCTACCCTGCGATTCAAAGGGGCCCTTAGTATTTATACTAGCTTGGTTCGGATACATGTATCACACTCCCTCCGTTTTTTTAATAGAAGACGCTGTTGACTTTTCCTCACATGTTTAACCATTCGTTTTATTCAAAAATTTTATGCAAATGTATAAGATATAAATCACACTTAAAGTACTATGAGTGATAAAACAACTCGTAACAAAATAAATTATAATTGCGTATTTTTTTAATAAGACGAATGGTCAAACATGTGAGAAAAAAATAACAGCGTCATCTATTAAAAAACGGAGGTAGTATTTTGATTCGGGGCACCGTATAGCTGTATGACTGTATCTTGGGTTCGAGATTTTTGAGAGAATTCCTTATATGCCACTGAAAATTTATTGGTTTTCTGATATATCACTTAAAATTGGTTGTTCTCTTACTGAGAAAATGTCAGTGTGTTATAATGGGAGGAACTATTTAGCCTTTTAAGATGATAATATGTTTTTTCTTGGTAAAATTGGATGATCTTTAAGTTATACACTTTGTTCCTAGTTTACAATTTTTATTTGTCCAATATATATAAATAAATATTCAGCAACTATAAATATTGAGATTTTTTGTCGTTCTGGATATATATATATCACGATGATGCTCTATATATATAAGCATGTCGAGCAACTTCCAGCAATCCTAGTCATAATAAAAATTATATTTTTGTGCAAGCATAGATTGGTAAATAATAAAGGTAATTAATTTACTTAATCCTTTGGATTAGATAAACGTATGCAGCCTCTCGTTACCTTGTTGTTGCTGCTACTGCTTGATGGTTTGCGATTAGCAGATGATTTGAATTCTGGACAGGCATATAGGAGAGAGACATCAAAGCGAGCTTTGCCTGCTCGCGTCGCGGCTAATCGAAGAGCAGCCATAATCAATGTTTGCATGTAATTTATCGATATGTGTCCACGACATGCTTTGCCTTTCTTTCTCTCCTCGCCGGCTCGTGCGTATATACACCAATCAGGGATCGGCATCTTGTTCCTTCCTTGTACGAGACAATGGGGCGATTGTGTGTGAGAATCGTGCGCGTGGATCGAATAGGAAACAGAAAACGATTCAGGCCACGCCCTAACGCAATCGTTCGCAAGACAGATAAAACACATGGACGCATGGATCAGAATCGATATGTGGCCTGTTCGCTGCTTTGTACCGCCGCTGCGCTGCCACAGCCAAAAGAAACAAAATACTGTGTTTGTTGGCTACATCACAGTAAAAATAAGAGCAGTCAAACATAGCCAAGTTATATGTATGAGCGACATACAAAAATTCATGACAAAAACATCTTCAATTTTTATAATAGTAGATAAGAGATATGCTGTTAGATCAAATTTACACACTGTTTTATGCCATTACCATCACTCTGACTAACAGTAGTCTTTGATCAAACTGTTATCTTTTTTATAAATGACCCAAATAACCTTAGTACTAACTAAAAGTATCAATGAAATTAGTATCCCTACATGGTGAGGACGAGCGTGGATATATATATGGACGTAGTAAAACAAAAACCACCACTAGTAATATACCGAATACTAGAAAAAAAAAGAAACAGTACATATACCTCTGAAAACTATTACGTGATCTAGTGTATACCGAATTGTAAAAAATAAACAGTACATACCTCCAACAATAGATGTATATGCCAAATAAATAAAAAGCAGTAGAAATCATACAAATTTGCAGTACATACTATCCACATGAATTTCCAGTACATATTTTTTAAATATGCTGGATATATAAAAAATATATGTATTTTTAATATGCTGGCTATCTCCGTAATTTTCAAATAGTTCTCATATTATAATCATCAGTAAATCCCATAAGGGCAAATGCGTCTTTTTACTATGGAGATAACAGTAACACACAATCAACACAGTAGTGACATAAAAGGGTATGAAAATTTGAGGTAATGTCATATAAGGAAAGAGCTAATTTCCACTGTCATATAAGAAAACTGGTAAATTTTTAGTGGTATATAAGAAATTTCTTGAGTTTTTTATATGAAACATAAGAGAAAATTGCCATTATGTCATCGTCAGGGAGGGGTTTGGTCAAAACGCTAACCATAAGGCCTTTTTCGTTAATCCCCATGAGGGAGGGATTAGAGAGAATTTATTCTACACCTATTGTATTGTGGAATTATTCCCCCTCAATTCTCTTCGATTCTCTTTAATCCCCTCTAAACCGAATAAGGCCTAATTAGGATTTGCTAAATTACCAGGTTTACACCCTAAAATACTATCCTGACAAAATTTCCCATAGTCTTGTCCTTCTACAGCCGTTGTCCGTCGAAGTGGCCCAAGTTGCCGGAGCCGTCACTCAGCCTCCCTCTTCTCCGCAAGTCTGGCACCGACGAGCCGAACAATAAGTCTGCACTGGTACCGACGTCCGCGTCCATGCCCAGAAGGAAGCAGGGACGGTGAGAGGAGTGATGAGGAGCGGGATGCCGGTGAGTGAGATGAGAAGCACACGACAGCAACCTCTATCCAGCCCAAGCAACTGTCCCAGGGCCGTCGAATTCCCGAGCGACAGATCTACTAGGTGGTCACCAAAGCATGCTGCGGGCCGCCGTGCGACGCAACGAGGAGTGGATGATGATGAGCAACAGAGACGAGCACCAGAGCTGCATGCCACAGGCCTCATCGTTCTCCCGAGCCTTCACTGTTGTCACTTCCATCGGCATCCGTTAAAAGAAAAATCAACAGCATCAAATATTAACAACAGGAGGGAATACCTGATATACCTGACTAGTTAATCTGACATATATAGTGCCTGAATATACTGATGGTCCATCCACTAGAATTTCTAATCATGCCTCAAATCATCGAATTGCTCTACAAATTTCATAAGCATTCTAAGTACACCAAAATTCTACCTCGTTAACCATAGATCCAAACTCTTAACCTCCAATCAAATCTAACTCGCTAAACCATACGGTGGACGTTGTTCTGAAAAAAAAATGAGACCATGTAAAGAACTACCATAAGTTTGAAAGTTTTATTTTAAAAAAACTTACGACAGTTTCTTACAATTCCAAAGAAATACAACCTCCACGGCTAAATCTTCACCTACCACTCTTACAAAGACCTAACAGCTGTTTGGTTGGGGGAATTATTAGGGAGAAAGGAGTTGCAGGGTGGGGATTGTTAAATTTATTGTTTGGCTGGAAGACGTGGGGTTTTAAGAGGGTCTGGAAGGAGAGTTTAAAAGCGAACTCCCATCTTTACAATGCTCACCGGGCCACGCCCACTGCAATCAGCCGAAGTTTTCTGGCCCAATCTGTCGGCCCAACGGCCTCGCCTCCATTTTAGCAGCTCGGACCAGCAAAAACCCGGGACGCCAGAACCAAAACCTGAAAACCCTCGCCGCTTCTCCCCGTCCTTCCTTTCCGAGCTGCCCCGCGCCGTCGTTACTTCCCCCCCCCCCCCCCCCCCCCCAACCAGCCATGGCGGGCGACAAGACGGCGGCGCCCCCTCCGCCAGACGCGGCCGCCTTCTCCCCCGACGGCGAGCTCTTCGCTGCCGTCTCCGATCGGCGAGTCCAGGTCCTCGCTCGGAACCCGTCACCTGAATCCCCCCTTCCTTACGCGCTGTTCCCCTCGTCCTTCGGTCGTTGTTGATTAGGGGGGAATACTTCCGCTGCTGGAGCGTTATACGGTCGCTGCGCTACGATGTAGTAGTGTGCTTTTGGTTTTCGAGATGTCTCGTGGCTCGCGAGTGATTGCTGTATGGTTGGGGAACTAGGTTCGAACGCTTGCTCTCTCACGGCGATTAAATAGGGGAGTTTGGTGAAGTTGGTTTTTGTTTCTTCCGGGTGAAGTGCTGCTTGGTTGTAGGCAATAGTTTTCATGATGTATCACTATTTAAATACGTTGGGCGTCTACCTCAAGACTCAAGAGTATATAATTTTGCTTATAAGCTGTTTGTAGAGAGTGATAGAAGTTAAAAGCTGAGATCTGTGAATGGTAGATAGCCTATCTATTTTAGAAATGGTACTTCGGAGAGGTGAAAGTCTACTACTACTAACAAAAAGAGGGTGAAAAGTTGAGCTTTACATGATGGAGGAAATTCGGATGGATATGTGTTTAGCATTAAAATCTTTCCTTCGCTCAAAACATCAATCCAAATTGTGAGATTGTAGCTTTGATGTATGCTAACCTATCCATTTTTTCTGCTTGTGCTTTTCTAATTGAGAAGGTATGGCGTACAGGAGGAGGAGAAATAATAGAAGGATGGACTGATCCAATTTCAGCCCCAGATGATTCATACAGTTGTATTGCATGTTGCTCTGTTCAGAAAAAGGTAATTTTTTAGGATTGAAATTAGGCTCTGTCTCATTTCTGTCTTACAATTTGCTGTTTTTGATTGGGTATTTTTTTTGTAGCATAAAAAGGATGGAAACCTTATTCTTGTTGCTGTTGGTACTACAAATGGTCAAGTTTTAGTTCTCGATTCTACTGGTGTCATATGGAAGAATGCTCCTCATACTTGGTAGGTGCAATCTTATTATGATCTATGAGCTTGATGTTCTTGACCTTTAACTTGACTGATAGGGGTTCTTCTGCAATGTTCTGAATTTCGTTTAGTACTTCTAATTCAAACTAGAATGTTTGGCATTTTGAAACAAGGAGTTTGGCCATTTCTCCCTTCGATATAAACATACATAACATTCAGTACTTTGTTCCCCTACTTAACTGCGCTGTAGGCTTATCACGTGTACTATGCTATATCTTAGTCATTGCTTAAAAGTTAAAACAATATTTGAACTTACAAGTATTTTTTTTAATCTAAATGGCTGGTTCTGCATGGATATGCTGCTCTCTGCCGGGAAAAAAAAACTTCTTTTGGCGTATTTGTTGTAGCTCAAGACTCAGTTTCTTTCTTTCCTTCTGTGCTTGAAGCTCAAGCTTCAATTTATCACCTAAATGGAAGAGTTGTAATTTTTCCTGTTTAACTAAATAACGAGATATTCATATTGGAACACACTTAAGCAGGCAACATGAGCTTAATTGGATTATTACAAGCATCCCATGGCCTGTAAACCAAATTTTTGACAAGCCATTCTGATGATTTATGTTATGAGCCAACTTGCCTCTGAAGAAAAGAGTCATAGTCTGTGCTGCAGAACAAAACAAGTTAGATCAATATGTCTCTGGTGTAACTTTATTGTGAAAATTCCATGCCTACCTTAACATGCTTTCCTTTTTCTACTAGCAAGGTTGTTTCTCTTCATTTTGCAAGACATGGGCGTGTTCTTTATACTGCTGGCATGGATGGAATTATATGTGAATTGAATTCTCGCACCGGGGAATCCAAAGACACTATTAAAGCTACGAAGAAACCAATTAATTCTTTTACACTTTCTCATGGTGAGCGCAACTTTAATTTCATCTGTTCACCTGATGCATGCTTGAAAAAACCTTTATTAAAATCCAGTCTTCCGGATGTTTATTATGTTAATAGAAGGTTTTTACCAAAAATGGATGGCTTGTTTTTGATGTATCATGAAGTGGAAAATTCATTTCTAATTATTTGTTGATCTTAACATGTAGTAGTGTAGTAGCTGATAGTGATAGAGCATGACAACACATATGCAATTGCCAGGTAAAAAAAAACAATTTTTCATGTACCAATTATTTTATATGGGATATCAAGAACATACGGAGCTGGCAGAACACTAATTCTTTTAATCTCTTTCGCATCTTTCGATTATTAATTGCCAATCGGGTAGTTCAAATGAAATTTAGTTTACATAACCCAGGGTTTCAGCAAAATGAGTTGAATGTGAACTCTTTCTTTGATATGACATCTTATGTTATTATTGCCAATTTCTTTCTTTGTCATTTCTTTGTGTATCTCAACTAAACTTTTGGCATTGTATTTTGCAGATGAGAAGTTTATGGGTGTATCAAGTAAGATAACAAGATTATTTAGTGTGAGTGAGAAAAAAGAGATCTTGAGGATTCCTTCTGATGTTGTATGTCATTATCTCAAACTTGCGCTCCTCTCTCCCTGTTGATACACCCCACGAGATGAATTTGTAATATGTCATGTACTCAATAGAGGCTTTCAACTCTTATTGATGCTATTGTCAAATGCAGGGTCCTGTCCAGCTGATGTCTGTATCAGATGATGGACGTTTTTTGGTTTCTCATGTTGACAATAATAAGGAAGTGCAAGTGTGGTCTTGCGATCAGAATAGTTGTACCATCGTTTCTACAGCCTCCCTTACAATGCAAAATCAGCCAAAGATAGTAGAGTGTACAAGGAGCACATCATATGGAGATGGGGGCATTGTTCTCGCAGTATCGAAGAAAGGTGTTGCTCATGTCTGGCATTTACAGACCCTCTCCCAAAATGAAGTACTGCCCACAAAAATCTCAGTCAAAAATTCACTCGATAAAAAAGGCCGTATCCCAATAATTTCAGCTAAATTATGTGACACCAATGAAGACAATACTGTTAAGGTTCATGTTGTATTTGGATCACCAAACTTTTTACAGTTCAAGGTTGTAGAATTGGATGATACTTGCAAGGACATCAACTTGGTTGCAGAGTATGATGAACTAGCTAAACAAGATATGGTGTCTCCGCAGGAAAGGAATTTGGAGCAAGAAGCTAAAGGTTTGTTGTTGTATCTGCCTGCTGCTCTTATAATCATTATCAGTGCAGTAAATTGAATAGTTAAGTGTGTTAGAATTATCCTGGTATAAATAACCCGGTTTGCATAATGGAAAAGGCATGCCATCATTCTTGAGCTGCTTTGTACTGTTGCTGGTTCCTATATATCTGCAATAAGTTCTTATTTCAAAAATGTTCTCAATTGTTAAACAGAACATTGAGCTTTAGTTAGTCAAAACACGGTTAGATTTAGGACTGATCTACTTGATCCGCGTTGTTCTTTTTCACAATTTTTCCAGATCGCTCTGCTTGAACCTTGTTTTAGTTTTCTCTGCAATGACAAGAACTGTTGTTTCTTCCTGTTCAGATGAATTCCAATCCAGACAGCAGCTTGTCTGCTCTTAACTAATGGATAATGATTTGGATTAATCAACTAGCCAAGAGATCGAAGTAATGTAGATGTTATTTATGACTAGTGCCTAGTGGTGCACTCCACCAAGCACTAATGGCATGTATGTAGTTTCATTTCAGCCATCCACTAGTTTAATGCTAACTTCATATCGTGCACCTTTCGAACTGATAAAAAATCTATTGGAATTGCTCTCCATAATTACCCTCCACTATATGGTATGATAATCAAGTTGCAAATTATATACTTTGTCTAGATGCCTGACATTGATTATTTCTTTGCCCAGCAAATAGCAAGGATGCAGAACCTGTTCAAGGAAAAGCAAAGAAAAGGACATCATCCGTTTTGGATTCCACTAATGGTGAGACATTGCTTGTTACATTACCTCCAAAACCTTACACTAACATTTTCTTTTACCTTTTCTACCTCTAAATAGTGAAAGGACAGAATTAAGGGTGCCCTCTATATTGTTTTTTTTATTACCACATCACTAATTTTTGTTTTTATTTGGGATGTTTAGACACAACCAAGGAAGTGAATCCAGAGTACAATCTTGATGAACCGACCATGGAGGAAAAACTTGCAAGTCTGAATTTGCTAAACAAGTCTGAAATTACTGAAGAGCAACCACCCTCTTTAGCGCCACCAAGTGCAGATTCAGTCCATGTTTTGCTGAAGCAAGCTTTGCGTGCTGATGATCACACTGAATTGCTAAAATGCTTGTACAATAGAGATGAAAAGGTATGGCTCCGTTTTTTCCTGTGCACTGTGTGGTTGAGACTTCTGTCGCCCCTTATCTTCACTCAATCATTTTTCATATTTTGAAAACAGTCTCACTTAGAATCTTATTCTGCTTTCAATTTTTCCGTATAATTCATCATTTTTATTTGGCTCAGACAAGGTAGTTGACGTTACAATAATTTGATTTTGGATGTTTGTTTTACTGGGCTATGATGGTTATGTACATGATTAGGAAAACATGTAGAACAAGACATGATTACGCTTGGCTATGTCAAACTTAGGCTATGGTTACTTGGATTCTTATTTCTTATTATTGCCATTTTTAATGATATTTCACATAGCAAGTAAAATTGAAAATAAAAAGAAGGGTAGCCCAGAATGAAAGAAAAGACAAAGTAGTCTGAACCTCTTAATCCAGTCTTGTTGGACTGCTTTGTAAGTTGCAATTAAACTTGGTTAGCCTAATTTACTAAACTAAAAACTGGCCTCCTTTTCTCCATGAGGCCATAACCAATCTAATAGTATTCATTCCTAGCAGCAGTCTTCCAATGCATTGATATGAATTTTCCTGTTGCAATTTCATGGAACATTTCCTCTTGTCTGATAATTGTATTGTTGGCTGGGTTACATCCAGGTCATTGTAAAGTCAGTATCACTCCTAACACCGGCAGACGTCGTTAAGCTTCTCAAGTTCTTTGTATTGCTAATACAATCCAGGTAGGTTTTCTGTTAGTGTAAATCTCTAATATTTCCATTACAATTTGGTGGAAAGGTTGCACATGATATGTTTTTCCTCTCCACAGGGGTGCAAAACTGGTTTGTATGCTCCCATGGCTTCAGGCTTTACTTTGTCGGCACATGAGCAGCATAGTGTCTCAGGAATCTTCTCTACTGTTGCTAAACTCACTCTATCAGGTTAGTACCATCTTCTGCTGCAGTTGCAGTAACAGTAAGTGGCATGGCATCATCTATACTGGATTATGCTTTTTCTGATTAAGATTATTAGATTACTAGTTTGCATCGTTCCTGAACAATGCTGCATTTAGATGTCATGTGTCAGGAATTTTTTGAAGTTTTGACTTCCTTGATTATCAAATTTTTAGGGCACAAGCACAGACAGGAATGGCAATTGTGAGTCAGGTTGAGTTCTGAATACTAATGTTACTATCTGCCAATTTTGCAGCTTATTGATGCAAGAACATCAACCTTCAAGTCAGCACTTCAACTTTCAACTACCCTAGACTATCTTTTCAGCGGGGTAAGTTTCTTTCCTCCAAATGGCGCGGTCTTTTTAATCACTGCAGTAACTCAAAACTTTTCCAGGTTTCTGACGGTGAAACTGATGAGGAGGACGCTGTTCCACCGATAATATACGAGGACAAGGACACAGACGATGAAGAATCTGAAGTTGATGCTATGGAAACTGACGAGGAGAGCCAAGAGCTGGGAGACGTTACTGATGCCTCTGAGCATTCAGATGGGAGTGATATCATGACCGACTGATTTACTTGCGCTCTTCTTTAATTTAGTTCATGATCAGCCTGACAAGGTAGGAGCTCGCGAAGTTGGACAAATCATGGTTGCTCCTGTTGTAGTGCTGTGCCTGGAATTAGTTGTTGCTCTTCACTTGGTAGAAGCTCCGATTCGCTCCCAATATGATTGCCTTAGTGTTAGGATCAGATCTTGATGTAAGTCAAGCCAGCTTGTATCAATAGCATAACATATAACTTTAACCTCCTCGTCAAATTTTGTATCTGGCGAGTGCATAACTGCATATTACTGCAAGCTGTTTCAGCTTTGTTTTTCTATGAGGAGTTAACGTCTCAGTTGAGAAAAATGGCGAGTGCAGTTTATGGAAGAAATGATAGGCTTGTCTAATAATTGTTGGTTGTTAGAACTTAGAAGGCTATGTTTGGTACTTCCTCGTTTCACAATGTAAGTCATTCTAACATTTCTCACATATATATTGATATTATGTCTAGATTCATTAACATTAATATGAATGTGGGAAATGCTAAAATAAATACATTGTGAAACGAAGGGAGTATTTATTTAGTTCGTTTCTTGCTAATTTACACATGAACTACAATTGTTTGCCTGTAAGCACCTTAAGCCTTCCGCCCTTCCGTATCCTCCGAGCGCTTCGTGTAGCTGACTTTCAGTAAATTTCAATTGTCATATACTCGTCTCAATCTTAGAACAGTTTTGAGTGTGACTAGTTTTTAAACCATGACACCTTTATTAACCAAACCAGACGGACGGAAAAACAGATTGATTAAATCAGAAATAATAGTATTAAGATTAATCAAATCAGAAATGATAGTATTAACGAGGCGCACAGAGAAAAAGAGAGATGAAATCAAAGAGAGAAAAATCAAATTGACACGAGCAAGAAAACCGCACAAGTTAGTAGTACCATTTCGCTAACAACCTTTTGGAGTAGATCCCAATCCCATCCACATCCCCTTTGCTCGACTACAAAGTCACACCGCTTTGCATTTTCCTCTCTCTCTCCGCCCTTCGCCTCCTCCACCGAGTCAGATCTCGAGCGCCGCAGAGGAGAGCAGCAATGAGGCCGTCGCTGATGAGATCCGCCTCGCAGGTCCTCCGCCGCCGCCGCGGCTACTCCTCCGCCTCCGGCCAGCCGGAGCGGAAGGTCGCCATCCTCGGCGCGGCCGGCGGCATCGGGCAGCCGCTCTCCCTCCTCATGAAGCTGAACCCGCTCGTCTCCTCCCTCTCCCTCTACGATATCGCCGGCACCCCCGGCGTCGCCGCCGACGTCTCCCACATCAACGCCCCGGCCCAGGTACCTCCCCCGCGCTCTCATCGCTCGCCGTCCCCTCTTCCCGTTCCGCCGGGATCTGTCTAACGCTGCGGGCGCTTGGGTTTTGGGGGTTTCGGTTTCTCGCAGGTGAAGGGGTTCATGGGGGATGACCAGCTCGGGGAGGCGTTGGAGGGGTCGGACATCGTGATCATCCCGGCCGGCGTGCCGAGGAAGCCCGGCATGACCAGGGACGACCTCTTCAACATCAACGCCGGCATCGTTAAGAACCTCTGCACCGCCATTGCCAAGTACTGCCCGAATGTAAGATCTCTCCCTCACTCGCAGCACTCTGGATCTGCAGCTCTTGTGCCTGTAGCTCTTGTGGTCGCTTGTGGGTATTGCTCGCTGCAATTAGGTCTAGTAACGGAATCGTAAACATGATTTGATTAGAGGTGTGAAAAAAGCTGTACTAGATTACTGAAAAGGCGCCAAACTTTTCCCCAGCACGCGTGTATCAGCATCCAGCACTCATTGTATATCTCTTGTTGAATAATCTGGTTCCCTGGCTGAATGCTGATAATTTGGTGCAGCAATTATTTTTATCCCCACGGGTCATTTATTAACCTGGACAAATCAGAAGAATATCATTGTTTACCCTGACTTATTGCTTCTTGTTATCTGCTTATCTTTGATAAGTTCTATCAATTTTGTTTTCAGTCTTCGTATCTTTGAAACTCATGCATGTTCATTGGTATTACATGCTTAATTACCAACACGTTCATTAAATTCGTTCATGTATATTAGGCTCTTGTCAACATGATCAGCAACCCAGTGAATTCAACGGTCCCAATTGCTGCCGAGGTTTTCAAGAAGGCTGGGACTTACGATGAGAAGAAGTTGTTTGGTGTGACTACTCTTGATGTTGTTCGTGCTAAGACTTTCTATGCTGGAAAGGCCAATGTACCAGTTACTGGTAATGACCTGAGAGTCACTTGAGTACTGAGAATTGATATAGTAGGGTTTTGGTGTTTTTTCTCTCTTATCTTCTGTTGGATTTGTTTCTCCCTTTTTGGCAGATGTGAATGTCCCAGTTGTTGGTGGTCATGCGGGTATCACCATCCTGCCACTGTTCTCACAGGTATGGATTTTGACTTTTGATTAACATAACTCAGAATGTCATACCAGTAGGATCCATATTTACATATCATAAAAATAAGATTATCAGATTGGTACTCCCTCCGTCCCGAAATAACCAAACCTCGTAGGACATGTCACATCCTAGTACGAGGTTGGTTTATTTTGGGACGGAGGGAGTATGCCTACAATATATATATTTTTTGTTATGGCACCATAATCATATCATGCATGCTATGGTTAAAACATGCTAACTTAAGAATTACTGTTCATGTGTTCTCTTATTCTTGTAGTAAACTGCACATGTTTATTATGATAAAAAAGTTAATAACCAAGTTTGTTATATTTTCTCGCTCAAGGTTGACATAGTTTCTGTATAGGAATCTTTTATCTTTATAGAATCATCGCTAACATAGTCTAATATGAAGTGTACAATCATTTTTTGGATTACAAATAAGAACACAAACATGACCAATATATAAGATATAACTGTGTTATTTTGGCTGTTCAAAAATATGAAGCAGATGATGCTTTTATGAGCTCATAACTTAACAATCCAACTGAAGGAACTCTTTATTTGGGTAGGCAACTCCTGCAACTAATGCGTTGTCTGATGAAGACATCAAGGCTCTTACCAAGAGAACACAGGATGGTGGGACTGAAGTTGTTGAAGCAAAGGCTGGAAAGGGCTCTGCAACCTTGTCCATGGCGTAAGTTAAAATAAACATAACAGCTGTGCAGAGTGAGGAATTAGTGCTTTTATGGCTAATGGTAGTGCTTTTATCCTTACTCATTTGATTCTATTGGGGGACAGGTATGCTGGTGCTGTTTTCGCAAATGCTTGCTTAAAGGGTCTGAATGGAGTGCCGGACGTTGTTGAATGCTCTTTTGTGCAATCAACTGTAACAGAGCTGCCATTCTTTGCCTCCAAGGTACATTTTCTTTTCACAACTTTCTTTGTCTGTTGCAGTTGTGATCTATATCATTTGGTGGAGTAAATCTAGAGTATTTGACATTCCTTCTCATCTTAATGATATCTCTTTTATTCTATTCCTCCTTTTTCTAATGTGCGGCTCTAGTTTTGTATGCATATTGTTTTATTTGCGTCCTCCTCTTGCTGTCCAAAAATGTTAGAAGATGGACAGGATCGAACCATGCAAATTTTTTATTGCATAGAAAGATATATATTAATATACTAAATCCTATATAATAGTGGTTCTTGTCTCTGGTTAGATTCCTGTATCCTGAATGATTGTGTGGTTAGATACTTTCTTTCTTTTTTTACTTTGCAATTAATGGTTATACCTCATTTATGGAATTGCTACCTTATTATATACTTTCAGAATGTGTTCATTTTATTGGCTCATCTATTACTATGAACTGTGGAAGTGTGCATTTTGGTGCTCTGATTCTATGAACCTGAGACCATCCATGCAAATTTAGATATTGTGCACGGCATCCGTGTACTGCTGCAAAAGAAGTTACGGTTCATCTGGTTTCCTATATTATAGGCTGGTTACTGTAAGGCTGTTGCAAAAGAAGCATTTTTTTTTTGTACAAAAGGTCATACAAATGCCCTCAAATATGCCATGCCAAATCTCATAGCAAATCATGTATGCAAATTGCAGTAAGATTTCCTGTGGTTTGCTGCTTTGCTTTATGTTGTGCTCATGGTGACATTATTTACATATTACATAGACGTAGTGGGTGCTTAGCCTAACGTGAATGTGATTCTATCATCTGGTCATTTCAAAACTGGTTTTTGCTTTAGAAATCTTCAATCAGTAAACTTTATGGTCAAGCTGCTGAAATATTTATGTTCCTTCACTGATGTTACAGGTGAAGCTTGGGAAGAATGGAGTTGAGGAAGTTCTTGGGTTGGGCCAGCTGTCAGACTTTGAGAAGGAAGGACTGGAGAATCTTAAGGGCGAGCTCAAGGCTTCAATTGAGAAGGGTATCAAATTTGCAAATGCGTAGTTAGGCCATTTTGCAGACTAGCAACTCATACCTGTAGATGAGGCTTCTCTTGATTTGATTTATGCTTTTTTCTACCCCTTGTGTTGGGATACCGAGGATTTGAGCTTTACAATAAGAATCCGGCGGCCTAATGCCAAACAGAACAAAACTTGTACGAGAGGAACTATTTGTGTCAAGTTTTGAGTTGTTACATTGGACAAACATTGGATTATGCACCTTTTGCCTTAGCATTTGTTGACACTGGCCTAATGTTCTGCTTTAGCCAGTTTTAAAACTATAATTTCTGGAAATACAAACTACTCATTTGAATTTGACGAGTGAAAAGAGAGACTATTGCTGTTAACAAGTCACACCACTCACCAGCCATCAAATGTGGAGACTAGTATATGCGATTCGTGGTTCCCACTTGGAATAATTGTTCATCTACTCAAGTTGAAAGCAAATTTAGATAGGAGATTTCCAGCGATGGAATATTCTCGGTGAGCGGCAACCCGTCGGTGAACAATTCAATGTGGCTTGCAAGTGTCAAATCCCTGGGTGATTCGTAAATTCTGAAGGGGACACTTAAAAGCTTTTAATGCTGATGAGGTAAAGCAAATTACTTATGTTCATGGGAGTTTTTTTTTCTTTTGACCGTATCTGATACGGTCCTCTATAAAAGCAAAAGATTAGCGCGCGTTCCAATTTTCTTCCTTTTTTTTTCATTCAGTTCTTGCACCTGACTTGTGAAGATTGAATCGCAATATTCAAAATAGTAATAGTGCATAAACGAATCTCAAAATGGTGCTCTTTTCTCTTTCACAATGTTTGGTGCGATGGAGAAGAGAATCTTTATGTACTACTAGCCTGTTTGGCATAGCTTCAGCTCCACCTCCATCTCTCGTAAGCTGGAACTCAGCCAAACAGTTTCAGCTCCATCTAATTAAACTGAGAGCGGAGCTAGGTAAACCTCTCTCACAAAATAAACTCCTGAAACTAAATTTAGAAGCTGGATGTCTGGTACACCAAAGTACACTAAAAATGCATCACTCTACAAGAATATACTAAGATCAGGAACAAGTTACTATTTCTTTTTTCTTTTCAAAAGTGTGTCAGTGGATGCATTTGTGGGTGTGTAATTGCGGTCTTGCGGTCTTGCGTATGTGATGATATGTGCATGTGTGTCTAATGTGTAAAGAAAAAAAAATCAAGATGTGCAACATGATAATTTATATGCAAAAATAACAAAAAAAATGTTTTATACATGGGGATATGAGTATGAAAAACAGTGCATTCTGTAACTACCAATAATGATGGGACGTATTATTTGTGTACTGTTTGGTCCTTGAATTTGTCCTTTTTTACCGTGTATACATAATTTTGAGTTGATTTTTTTGTTGGTACAGATCTTTTTTTCCGTCTCATGGTGGCGATCTGCCGACCAAAACTAATACTCCCTTCGTCCCACTGAAGAATAAGGCACACACATATTTTAAAGATTCAACTTTTTAAATATTTGATCAGTAACTATTTTATTATAAATAAAATTTTATTTGTTAAAAATAATATTACTAGATTGATATTTAAATTTACTTTCATATGATTATGATTTTATTCTTATAAACATAGTAAATTTTTTTGACAAAAAATATATATGAAAAATTAGTTTTGGAGACTGATAAATTTAAGTGTTTTATTTAGTGGGACGGAGCGAGTAAGACAAAGAGGAGATTAGTACACAAAATAACACCATAGTTGTTGCTAGTACTTGCTAACTTGTTACCTTGTGCCTCAACACCGCATATATATACTTTCGTGAACTCTCTACCTCCAAGAACACATTGCTTGGCAAGGATCCTGCTAGTCCTGCTGTGTTAGTACTTAGGAGTAGTGTACATATCGTTGAGCTCCGTACGCCTTAAATCTTTTTCATATTTTTGTGTACATTTGAGTGCACGTTTAGACGTTGGTAGTATGATATCACCGCACTGCGTGGTAACGCTTTAGAGATTTTATGAGAAGCCGATATTTCTTGTGTATATATGAGATTGAAAAAATTAAACCATGGTCATGCAAATTTGCTTTCTCCTTTTTGGGTGAGTATGACTGCTCTTGTTTGTATCCACAAAATCCTGACAAGTGGCATAGCCCATAAATAATATCCTCTCAAAGAATGCACGAGAATGTTGTTTTAAGAAATGAAAAAGATTAGAACACTTCAAAATTTTGGAAGTGTTGGATAAATAGTACAGTCACGAGCAAATTATATCAATCAATTAAGTCAAATCATTGCAACATCAACTTTACAACATTTTATACTTTTCTTACATATATAGGAGTATATGACAAACTATTACTCATATAAAAAAACACATTTCTCGTTGAACTATACTTGTCGTTTCTTCTAACATGTGTTCCCCCACTTTTGTCACATTATGAATGTGGATTTTTTTTTGAGAACCAGGAATTTATTAAACTTAGAAGCAGTCCACATATTATATATGAATGTGGATTGACAAAGTCATCATAACCTAAATACGAGCACCATGTCACATAAAGAATAATAAACCTAAATACAAGCATCCGTGTGATGTCAAGTGTACGGTTTGAACCCATGTGAATAGGTTTTATTACAAGTAATTTAACCTAGTGAGTTATTATGCTAAAGAGCATGACTAACATTTTTGCCAAAATTCAATCTCCTTAAATCTTTTTTTAATCTCTAATGGAATTTAAGGGATAAAAATATCCTTTCCCTCTAAGAGATAGCCCAATTTAACTTCTCAAAATAAAAATGTGTCTACATAAAAAAACTTCAGACAAAACTAGACCTATTTTCTTGTACTCCCACGGTTGACTCCTAAGCGTGTGAATCGGTCGGTGATGGCTATCCGGGGTGAGGCCCTCCCTCGACTTATGGAGAGACATTTATGGTGATGGGGATGATGTTTTCAGCTTGTTTAGGGCTATTGTGGGAGGTTAATTTTTTTGAAAAAACCTGCAAAATATTTATATTAGAAGTAGTATAGACAATCCATTGACATGCTCTAAGTTTGTTATTCTTAAAAGTTAGGAGTATATTTCAAATTTTGAACTTTTTAAAATAATGTTGTAAAATAAACTACGATGAGAAAACCAAAGATTCAAAGAAACAACGCTAGATTAAAGTTGTAAGATTTTAATTTTGGTTTATAAGGATTGCCCCTCCGAGCCGTTCTGCGTGCTGAGCTTCGTATTATTGTTCTTTGGGCCGTTTGCCCATGGGAGAAGCGAGATGACGAAAACATATTTTCACTCACACACGGTTTTCATCATACGGAAGTGCCTCACCATTCGGAATACGTAATTTTCGTACGTCCTTGTTGCGTTTTACCGGTTTCACCAGGTCACGTAGACGTAGAGTATCCAAAACCTTTGCCTTAATTAATACTTCCTTCGTCCTAAAATAAATATAGTTTTGTACTATTCACGTTCAACGTTTGACCATTCGTCTTATTTAAAATTTTTTTATGATTAATATTTTTATTGCTATTAGATGATAAAACATGAATATTACTTTATGTGTGACTAAATATTTTTAAATTTTTCAAATAAGATGGACGGTCAAACGTGGGGCACGGATATCCACGAATGCATTTATTTTGGGACGGAAGTAATACTAAAAAGAACATATGTTTGTGTGCAAAAAATAATGGATTCGACGTGTACTTCAAAGAGGGCCTCTTAACTGAGCACATCTCATCATTCTCGAAGGTTAGAAAGCACACTTGTCACACGTGAGAGCGACCACTGGCCCCACTGACCCGTGGGCCTCTGTCACCGCGACCCCACATGTCAGTGACTACCGCAGCGTTTATAAAAGCCACGTTAGACTTGGACCAACGCAAAGCATCGCCGCGACGACTTTCTCTCCTTTTCTCCGTTCATCTCGAGCAGAGGAGAGGAATGGATTCCTCCTCCACCTCCGGGAGGAAGGGAGGAGGACTCCTCCTCTCGCCGCCGCCGGCGGCGGTAGTTGTGGCGGTGGCGGTGCTCCTGTCGGCGGCAGAGGCGGCGACGGAGGAGCCGTGCTACCCGCGGCTGTTCAGCTTTGGGGACTCGCTGACGGACACGGGCAACTTCGCCTTCATCTACGGCAACGACTCCCGCGAGCCGGCGCTCCGCCCGCCCTACGGCGAGACCTTCTTCCACCGCGCCACCGGAAGATTCTCCGACGGCCGCCTCGTCGTCGATTTCATCGGTACTCTGCTCGCGGCGATTTTCAGCCCCCTCCTCCCCTGCATCGATTGGTCGACCGATCGAACGACCCGACTAACCTGAGATTTGAAATTTGGGTGCACCGCGCCGCAGCGGACGCGCTGGGGCTGCCGTTCGTGCGGCCGTACTTGAGCGGGCGGACCGCGGGGGACTTCGCATGCGGGGCCAACTTCGCGGTGGGCGGCGCCACGGCGCTCAGCCCGGCCTTCTTCCGGGCGAGAGGGGTGCCCATGGCTGACATCGTGCACCTCGACATGGAGATGAAGTGGTTTCGTGATCTGCTGAAACTGCTCTGCCCCGGCGACCTGGCCGGTATGTTGATATAATCCCTCCTCTCTCTCTACCCACCTTTGACGATGACATTTTCAACTAGCGATATGAAATCGTAGCAGTAGACTAGTAGTTTGGTGGGGGTTAATGTCTTGATGATGATGCGCATCTGGTGATAAATAGAATGGTCTGAATGTGACACATGGAGATTGGAGAAGCAAATCCCAAACATGCCACAAACTGATTAGTAGAGTATAAGCACGCAGACTGACAGGTACTAAGGCACTGTCTCAACCTTTTGTGGCTCTCAGAAGACATGGAAGGTGGGAGTTGGCTAGAAAGTTGAAGAGAAAAAAAAAAAGGAAAAGTATGCTATAGCATTTTCCTTATGGTGTGGAACTTATCCTAGTACCTTCTATGCCATTTCAGAATTGGTGCAATGGTATACAATATATATTCCTTGATTCCTTTTTAGTTTTTACTTGTGCTTTAGGACGTTGACATGGTTTCTAAAGAATATAACTGCATCGAAGTATTTTCCACGATACACTACTAATGTCATTTTCACATATTATATGTCACCTGTGGTTACTTGGTTTAGACACAAAAAAATGTGCATCCAAAGAAAATAACAGCACAAGGAAAATAAGAAAAGCAATTCATCATTACCAGAAATAGTGGGGTTTATTTGTGGCTTGAAGATTGACAGCTTTTGTTGATTGCTGCTAGGCAGATGGTCCATTTCAAAATCCATAACCGTCATTGTCAAACACCTTAAGTCCATAACTGATACTGTATTTTCTATAAAAAGGAAATATTGTAAAAGGAGTCCTAAAACTTTCTGCAGTTTATATATATATATATATATATATATATATATATATATATATATATATAAAATCACACCGCGAATCCATAACACATTGTTTTCCAAAGAATACATCATCATTAGTTGAAATTAAAAATTATAAAAAATATTTTATAAATGGACACCATGTCACTGCTACATATGAACTTTGCCCTTGAATTGATGGCATACAACATAAATCAGAAATCAATTAATACGCCAAGGGGAAGATCATGCTGCTACAAATCTGGTTTTTAGTAGAAATGACAAGTAGTAAGCTTCCTGTGATCCTTTAAATGTTTAACTATGATATAATAAATAAGCAATTGTGATATGCTTAAAATTCCATTTTCAGCTATAATATCATATTTACATACTGATTCTAAACACTAGTTATTGCACAGGTTGCACAGGCATGATGAATCAATCTCTTTTCCTGGTCGGAGAAATTGGGGGCAATGATTACAACCTACCTCTTCTCAGCGGGGTGTCCATTACAAAGATTCGCAGCTTCACTCCGAGTGTCATTGCCAAAATTTCTTCTACAATCACCGTGAGTAACGTGCCTATGTTACATCTTTTCTGTGTACCTTGAGACCCTGTATCAAGAAGCAATACAAAATTACATGGCTTGTAATGCAACAGCGTTGAGTTTGCAGGAATTGATTGGGCTTGGAGCCAAGACGCTGGTTGTTCCTGGTAACCTCCCCATTGGATGTGTTCCAAATTACCTCATGATATTCAAGAGTGGTAAGAAGGAAGATTATGAGCCAGAGACAGGTTGCCTCAGGTGGATGAACGAGTTCTCGCAATACCACAACAAACTTCTTATAGATGAATTGGAAAAGTTACGCAAGCTTCATCCTGATGTGGCCATCATCTATGCTGATTACTATGGAGCTGCCATGGAAGTTTTCCTTTCCCCTGAACAATTTGGTGAGTTCAGTTAATTCATTACTGTTTCTACTATGATTTCTTTTCGAAAGCTTAACACTACTAATTTTAGTTTTTAGGTTACAAGAAAAATACTCTATATGTGTTCTCTTAAATTTGATTACCTTAGTGCTTCTCAAACGAAGCAAATCTGTCTGTATCCTTCATATGTTTGTAAGGTTCAGAAGTTTATTTTCATCATGTCACGTAATGCACCCCCACGCCAGACCTCTGTTCAGATATCTGCATTCTTATCATGGTATAGATATATTATGTGTATTACAAATTATTGCATTCTTACCATGGTATAGATACATTATGTGTATTACAAATTAACATGACATCACTTGTACCGAGTTTAAGACTGAACTAACTAGTCGGTTACACTAGAAAAACTGTCTAGAAGCCTTAATATGGAGGAAAGCGCATATTATCAAGAAAAAGATCATTTTTTTCTTCTGAGTATAGCTTGTTTAACATTTCCCTAACCTCGGTTCAGGAATCAAAGATCCTTTGACAGCTTGTTGTGGTGGAGGAGGACCGTATGGTGTATCTGGAACTGCAAGATGTGGATATGGTGAATACAAGGTTTGCGATGACCCACAAAAGTTTGGGTCATGGGATGGCTTCCATCCATCAGAAGCTGCATACAAGGCCATTGCAATTGGACTGCTACGAGGTTCATATACACAACCTTCATTTGCTACCACCACTAATTCGTGCCCGCAAATTACTGAGCTCAGTTCTTCTGTTGAATACAAGGTCCTCTACGATTTGTAATTCTGTAACTATATTTTTTTTATTATATAGACAATACGTGTGATTAAAAGATGTAACGATTGTGGTATTTTTGCCTCATTACAGAACTGCAGAACTGTTCTACACAGAATGGCTGTTGCCCAAGTGATTGGCTGGCTCTTGTTATTCCTTCTCTGTTTTTAGTCACGACCACAAGGTTTTATTTGTGGATCGTTTGATTCTTCGTAAATTTTTAAGATTTATTATTTCTTATAGGGTATGTGTAGTATTATTATAATTTAGCTCCATTGTTTTTCTTCTGTGTATAGTGAAAGGGTTAGGGGTTACAGGGAGACAACTACATTCTTTGGTCACCTTGGCTGCGTGGCTGATGTGGCCGTGATGTCGCTTCTCGTAGAGGCATTTCTTATGAGCGATATTGTATAAAGATCATGCAATCCGATCGCTTTATCTAATTTTTAGTGAGTTCCATGACTCTTATTTGTATCCACAATCATCAGAAGTGCCATATAGCTTAAATAAAAAAACTGTCAGTGTCAAACATGTACGGGATATTGTTTAAAGAAATCGAAATAACGAAAACACTTCAAATATTAGATAATATAAAAAGCACAACTACCAGTATATATCAATCAGGTCAATTATGTTGCAACATCATTAATTCACTACCTACTCTCCTTGCACCTAACACTCTTAAGAGAAGCGATTATTTACTTAATACTCCCTCCGTCACAAAAAACGTAAGCTAGTAAGGAATAAAATAATCTAGTACAACGAATATATGGATAATTGTACTAGATTATCCTATTTCATACAAGGTTGAGTATATTTTATAGAGGAAGTAAAAAAAATATTGTCATTGTCGTTGGACTACACTTATTTTCCCATTTCTATCTCCTCGAGTCTTATCACCTGAACCATTTTGTGATTTGTTGCTGCAAGCCTCATTATCGTTCGATAAGTTGTTTCACCATGGCAGAATGCGAACGACGGGGAAAAATATTTTCACTTACGCTTGGTTAAATATACATCGCCGAAAAAAAATCAATATATGGATGTATCAAATCTTTTGGTCCAAAGTAATGATATACAACAATCTGTGTATCTAAAAGTGTTACCTTACGACTTACGAAATAAACGTACTTGTAAACGCAACTCAACTGGTTAGCTTTCTCGTGGTAGAACGAAGTCCCCTTGATTCAAATCCTATACTTGACATGAGCATTTGCATTTACGGGTAATTATTATTTTAGCGATGAGTGATATATATAGGGATCAATGTGTACGTATCATGAGCGCTTAGCATTTATACTACGTTTTCACAGTGCATTTAGTGGAGGATGGAGCGTACCTGTCACCGTCTCATGTGTAATAGGCTAACAGCGACCAGAGGCCCTACTGACCTGTGGGCATTCGTCACTCGAGCCCACTTAACATTAACGAGCCACGCTTACGTTTCTTGGAGTATTTGCCTTTTTTGGGCCAACGCGAAAAAACACCGCAGAGCCAATCCCAGTGGCCGCTTCGCCTTCGGGCCCGACGTCGAGCAGAAGCAAACGAAAGTGTAGGAAGAATGGTCTCCTCCACTTCCGGAGGAGGAGCAGGCCTCCTCTCGCCGCCGGCGGTAGTGCTGGCGGTGGCAGTTGTGCTGTCGGCGGCGGCGGCGGCGGCACAGGCGCTGGCGGCGCCGTGCTACCTGCGCGTGTTCAGCTTCGGGGACTCGCTGGCGGACACGGGCAACGTCGCTTTCCTCTCCGGCAACGACCTCGCAGCTGTGGCCACCCTACGGCGAGACCTTCTTCCACCGCGCCACCGGCCGGTGCTCCGACGGCCGCCTCATCATCGACTTCATCGGTACGCCTCATCATCCATCCATCCTGCAGGCCTCGTCTGCATCGATTGATCGCTCGATCCGTTTGCTAATATGAGACGTGTAATTCGCGCGCGCGCGTGTGGGTACGCCGCGCCGCAGCTGAAGCAATGGGGCTGCCGTTCCTGCGGCCGTACTGGGGAGGGCAGACCGCGGAGGACTTCGCCAGCGGGGCCAACTTCGCGGTGGGCGGCGCCACGGCGCTCGGCCCGGACTTCTTCCGGGAGAGAGGGGTGCCCACGGACGACGGTGTCGTGCACCTCGAGATGGAGATGGGGTGGTTCCGCGATCTGCTCGACATGCTCTGCGCCGGCGACATGGACGGTATGTTTGAATCAACCAACACCTTTCGGCTTTCGGCTTTCGGCTTTCGCCTTGCACCACCAACCTTTGAGGCTTCGACAATGACGTTTGGAACGAGATCGTGGCAGTTCTCATTTTCTAAGCACTAGTCATAGCAGTTTGCTATTAGTTGGTGGGGCTTTATTGTCTAGAAAGGTGCGTGTCTAGAGATACCACAATCATTAACAATATCTATCTATCTATCTATCTATCTATCTATCTATTATCTATCTACCTATTATATTATTAAAGGATTAGAAAAAGGAGCCTCCACGTTCGCTCTCATGGCTTAGAAATTCTCGCATTAATCGGAGAAAAAGAAAAAAACAAAGTCCATATAGAAATACAATTTAGAAATAGTTGAAATTCGGAATTAAAAAATAAGGAATATTAGAAGAGGAGACTAGAGTACATATAGAAATACAATTAGAAAATAACTGAAATTCTGAATTAAAAATAAGGAATATTAGAAGTAGAGTATAGAGTCCATATAGAAATACAATTAGGAAATAATAGAAATTCAGAATTAAAAATAAGGAATATTAGAAGTAGAGTATAGAGTCCATATGGAAAATCAGAGTCCATATTAGAAATACAATTTAGAAATAGTTGAAATTCGAAATTAAAAAATAAAGAATATTAGAAGAGGAGACTAGAGTCCATATAGAAATACAATTAGAAAATAACTGAAATTCGGAATAAAAAAAAGGAATATTAGAAGTAGAGTATAGAGTACATATAGAAATACAATTAGGAAATAATAGAAATTCGGAATTAAAAATAAGGAATATTAGAAGTAGAGTATAGAGTCCATATAGAAATACAATTAAGAAAAAAAATTCAGAATTAAAAAATAAGGAATGTTAGAAGTAGAGAATAGAGTCCATATAGGAATTTAAAACTAACTAAAATTCAGAATAAACATAATAAAATTAAAAGTAGAGTTTAGAGTCCGTATAAAAATACAATTTCTAAATAACTAAAATTCAAAATTAAGAAAAATATGGGAAGAAGAGTTTAAATTAATATAGGAATACAATTTAGAAGTAACTGAAATTTGAAATTAAAATTAAAGAATACTGAAAGATGAATTTATATAGAAATACAATTTAGAAATAGCTGAAATTCGGAATTAAAAAATAAGGAATAATAGAAGAGGAGACTAGAGTCCATATAGAAATACAATTTAGAAATAGTTGAAATTCGGAATTAAAAAAATAAGGAATATTAGAAGAGTAGACTAGAATCCATATAAAAATACAATTAGGAAATAACTGAAATTTGGAATTAAAAATAAGGAATATTAGAAGTAGAGTATAGAGTCCATACGGAAATACAATTAGAAAATAATAGAAACTTGGAATTAAAAAATAAGGAATATTAGAAGTAGAGTATAGAGTCCATATAGAAATACAATTAAGAAAAAAAAAATAGAAATTAGGAATTAAAAATAAGGAATATTAGAAGTAGAGTATAGAGTCCATATAGGAATTTAAAACTAACTAAAATTTAGAATAAACATAATAAAATGAAAAGTAGTGTGTAGAGTCCGTATAAAAATACAATTTACAAATAACTAAAATTAGAAATTAAGAAAAACATGGGAAGAAGAGTTTAAAGTCAATATAGGAATACAATTTAGAAGTAACTGAAATTTGAAATTAAAAATTAAAGAATTTTGAAAGATGAATTTAGAATCCACATAGAAATACAATTAAAAATAATAAAAGTTCAGAATTAAAAAAATATATTAAAAGACAAGTCCAGAGTCCATATAGGAATATATATAATTTACAAATAACTAAAGTTTGATATTAAAAATAATTAATAACTAACACGTATATAAAATACAATATAAATATTACGCATGAGTAGTTTCGTAAAGTTATTGTAAAATTTAAAATTATATTGTCATTGTAATATATTTTAATAATATAGTGAGAAAATATATATGCTATTATATAAGAGAAAATATAATGGTACTAGCCGCGTAATCTGCGCGAGCCACCATGCTAGTTTGGAGTATACTACTACTGCTACTATACAATAATGCACACCATGCCACTGCCAAATATTTGGTCAACATGATATGATTTCCACGTGAATAATTGCTTAACCCTTGAATTGGTTGCATAGAATAAAATAAAAAAAATAAATATGCCAGGTCAATGATTGTGGGTTTGCTACAAATCTGTCTAGTTTATAATAGGATAATAAACGAACATGCTAGAAGTAGTAGGTGAAGATAGTTTAGTTTAACTACCATATAAAGCAGCAATTTTGATAGTTAAAGTTCCCTTTCAGCTATTACTAAACGATGTTTATGGCACAGGTTGCAAGGGCATGATGAATCAATCTCTCTTTTTGGTCGGAGAAATCGGAGGCAATGATTACAACTATCCTCTTATGAGCGGCGTGCCCATTGAAAAGATTCGCAGCTTCACTCCTAGTGTTATTGCCAAAATTTCTTCTACAATCACCGTGAGTAATGTGCCTGCATCTTTTTATATACCTTGAGCTCCTGTTTCACGAAGCAATATAATATTATATAGCTTGTAATGCAATAAAGTTGAGTTCGCAGGAATTGATCGGACTTGGAGCCAAGACACTAGTTGTTCCTGGTAACCTCCCAATTGGATGTATTCCAACATACCTCATGCAATTTGAGAGTGATAAGAAGGAAGATTATGAGCCAGAGATAGGTTGTCTTAGGTGGATGAATGAGTTCTCGCAATACCACAACAAACTTCTTATAGATGAATTGGAAAACTTGCGCAAGCTTCACCCCGATGTGGCCATCATCTATACTGATTACTATGGAGCTGCCATGGAAATTTTTCTTTCCCCTGAACAATTTGGTGAGTGCAGCTAGTTCATTACTGTTTGTAAGCTTTATACTATTAATTAATTCTAGTTTGTAGGTTACTACAAGAAATAAAATACTAGCTTTCTGTTGACCTGTTAAATTCGACTTCCATAGCATTTCTTGAACAAAGGAAATCTTTCTGTAAATATGCTTGTACCACAATCATAACATCTAATTAGGGTTTCTCTCCCTCCATATATTTACCAGGTTGGCTATTCTATTTTCATCATGTCATGGAATGCACTCCTCAACTACTTTCTACATTGATAAAGAACATTTTTTCTTGTTGGTAGCTTGTTTAACACTCCCAAACTGCGATTCAGGAATTGAGGATCCTTTGGTCGCTTGCTGTGGTGGAGGAGGACCTTATGGTGTATCTGCATCTGCAGGCTGTGGATATGGTGAATACAAAGTGTGTGATGACCCATCAAAGTATGCATCGTGGGATGGCTTTCATCCATCAGAAGCTGCATACAAGGGCATTGCAATTGGCCTGCTACAGGGCCCATACACTCAACCTCCAATCGCTAGCATCACCGATTCTTGTCTACAGATCATTGGCCTCGGTTCTTCTGCTGAACGCAAGGTCATCTATGACATGTAGTTCTGTAATTATATTTTGTTATTATTATACACAATATATGCAATTAAAATATGTAAGGACTGTGGTATTGTTCTCATTATAGAACTGTAGTACTATTATACACATCATGACTGTTACCAAGTGACCTGCTGGCTTTGTCATTTTTCTTCCTCTTTTTTTTTTGTCATGAGGTTTTTTTCATTGTTCTTTTTCTTCTTCTTAAACTTTTGAGATTTCTTTTTTCTTTGTTTCTTATACGCTTGTGGCGTAATGTTCTAACTTATTGTAGCACAAGGCTTAGTGGTTACTAGGAGATATGTACATTAATTCTTTGTTCACCTTGTCTGGATGGCTGGTGTCGTCGTTATGTCGCCTATTCCTTTTGCCTTTCTCGAGAATGTTTCATGCATACTCCCTCCGTCCCATAAAAAACCTAATTCTGAATTTGAATCTGTACTTATTCCCGTAAAAAATAAATCTGAATTAGATTTTGTATAGGACAGATGGAGTACTTCTGGGTTCTGGATCGTATGATCTCTACACTACTACAGAAAGCGTTTTTGCATACGGGCGGAATCGATCTTCACATGCGGTTGGCCGGCCCGCATGCGCGAAATGGTCTGCAAAGATCACCATTTGCGCATGCGGCCGTCGCAGCCGCATGCGAAGATTGATCTTCGCATGCGGTCACTTAAGACGGCCGCATGCGAAAATAGATCTTCGCATGCGGTCCATATAAGAAGCCGCATGCGAAGATATATTTTCCCATGCGGTCGACCTAAGAAGACCGCATGCGAAGATCTATTTTCGCATGCGGGCGTCTTAAGTAGACCGCATGCGAAATTCAATTTCCGAATAGCTAAAATAATATTTATTCTAGCATTTTGGTGATTCGTAATTAATATGAAATTATTGAGAGATTTATTATCGTATTTCGGAGTAGTAAGCATATAAGATAAGACAAGTGCCGCAGTAACAAACATGTAATACATAACCATTAATTCAATCGTAATTTACATACAAATATATAATACAAGTGGCACAGTTTTTTCATCATATGTATAAGTAGTGTACATGTTATTGCATATGTTCTTTCTCCCACTCTCTGAGAGGTTTAAATTTGTCGTCCATTGCGAGTTCACTCTGGTTGTCGTAGAAGAGACCTCTTGCGTTGCAGACATCGCGACGGATGAATCGGCAGAGGTCAGCGGCCACGTTCAAGATAGTAGTGTGGTTGAATCGTTGTGCAATATATGGGATTTCGGGGATCTGCACACAGAAAGGAAAATAAAACGGTACTCAGTGAGAAGTGTGTGCGAGATGGGTTTCTTTGTAGAGAAGAGTTCGATGACCTACTCGGTTACTGGTTGTTTTGTACCTCCCATTTACTCTGAGCATCTCGCACACGTAATAACCACACAAGTTGGTTCCTGGTGGTTGTTTGTAGCACTGCGATATAATTATGGGGACCGATCTCAGTAGATATATTTAGTATATATGTACTATTCGATAATTAGTTGTATTGGTATAAATTTGATAGTACCGGCCAGCCAGTCCTGACGGATAACTTCTTCTGGGATGGAATATGTACTGGTCCACCTCTTTTGCGGTAGTACTTGTGTGCTCTGTTTGAAGGAAACAATTGTTTTATTAGTAGTTAGAAGACTGGTGATCGACCTAAACAATTTATAGTAATGAAATGTTTATCACTTACAAATTCAAAATAGTGAGGAATTCCATAAATGTCTCCTTGTCATAGTGTGCGGGGTCCAATGATATGATCAATTGGTCTTTCGGATATACAAGGAATAATATGTAGTGGTCTCTACATATAAGATAGGCTTATTGGAGACAGAAAATTCCGAAGAAGATAAATTAATTAAACAAAAAGAAGAGAGAGCTTACGTGAACTGGTAGGGGACCATTAAGACATCTTTGTCGGCGTGCGCCAACATTGCTATTGCCAAGTATGTTGCTACTTCTAGCTTCTTCCTCTTGTGCAATGTCTTCACATATTCTTCCTTTTCTTCCGGGGTCTTGCCAACCAATTGCTCGCAGTCCTGTCTCAGCTCTACGGTGTGTTGTGTTTTGCATATTCTTGTTGGATCGACGTATCCAACCTTTGCTCCAGTTCTATCAGCTTCGTGGAATTGCATACTGTACAATGAATAAAGAAGAAATGAGATTTGGTTTATTTGTTTCGAATGAAACGTGCAACATGTAATAAAGAGTTTAGACTTACAGACAGAAAGCCGCAACGAGATTAACGTCCATTTTATCTAGCTTGTAGAGGGCGTAAAGGTCTTGGAAAGAGATAAAAAATATCCCATTAGGACCACTCATGAAAGTGCCTTCCGGGACGGCGACGCTTATGAAACCGAGACCTTTCCTAGATGCCTTCATATACCATTCGTGCATTACCCTCATTTCCCATGGTAGCTTGTTCATAAGATAAGTTGGCAAGAATGGCTTGCCATACTCATAAGTTTCAGGCACATCGGCAGATAACCAGGATTGCACTTCATCTTGGGCCGCTAGTACTGACTTCTGGGAGTCTGACAAGACGTGAGCAAGTTCTTTTCTCTTCTCAGAATTCCTGAAAGCTGAAAACATGAACTTCTCCTTGTCCTTGTCAATCTCCTTTGGGTCGTATGTCGATATCAACTTTGGAATTATACGACGAGGTTCCAAAGTATTAGACTTTGGTTCGGATGTAGTACCATCTGGTATGTGCACTTCTTCTACCAGAGCAGATTGGGGTGTAGGTGGAGAGGTTTGAACTGAGGGCGGAGCCGGGGGAGCATGCTGTTTAGTTGGGGAGGTGGGAGAGGCTTGAACTGGTTGCGGGGTCGGGAGAGGCGGTTGTTGAGAAGGGGAGGGTGGTGGTGTAGGTTGGCGAGGCGGTGACCTAAGCGGTGGTGGTGACGGCGGATGTCGAGGTGACGGTGGTTCAGGAGGCGACGGTGGTGCAGGAGCGGCAGCAGTCATTGCCTGCGATGAGGATGGGGTTGAAGATCCTGCTGCAAGAACGGCCGCGCTCAGGATTATGTCTCTGCGGTGCCACAAGATAAACTGATTCACTGCATCACCGAGAAGTTCAATCCCCTCAGGTGCAGGTATGTCTAGTTCCAAGGAAACGTGGTCGCTATGGACCTTGGCGACCTGTACCCTTGCGTAATCCTCAGGGATTGCCGTGTTGTGGAATTGACGTCCGGGTATCGCTAAACCCGTTGCAACCTCCTTAGTCTTTCCAGCGCGGCCGATTGGTACGACGAGACTGCACGGAGTTGGTCCAGTTATACTATCCACAGGGAAGGTACTTGTCTGCACTGAGCCTACACTGCTGGGTACATTAGTTGTTTGCTGTGCGGATTGTGTGGGTTGCTGGCTATCAGGGAATAACCTTGGAAATGCTGTCGGGTTTTCAGCTGCCAACGAGTAGAAGTGTTCCTTCACTTGCGCATAGATCTTGTCCGATAGTTGTTCTTTGTATTTGTCTCTCTTCTTATAACTTGGTGCGTCTTGTGGAAACCCGACCTTCCAACTTGTCTTTGAGGACAAACCCCTTACACGTCCAGAGTGTTCAGCCGTCCCCAACGCCGCAGTAAGCTGATCTCTCTCCCTCCGTGGGACGAACTGTCCTGATCTTTCTTTCTCGACTATCTGCTGCAAATTAGTAGTCACTTCTTCTATGTCTGGAGTCTCGAATAGTATGTCTCCCTCATCCGAGACTTGACCTGTGCTGCGCGCCCAAACCCAGTTCTTGCTACGTTCAACCATGGGGTCTACCAGCAGGGGCTTACCGGCCGCGGCAAATCTTTGCTCGATCTCCCGCCATTGATCGACGTGACCAGCGTATCCGCTCGACCCCAATCTATGGGGATATTTGTTCTTCTTCGCGAGCTCGGACATTTTTTTCCTCAAAGCCAATGCTTCAGCTGTTGTACGATCCGCAACAAACGTGTCCCAGTCAGCCTGCGATATATGTCCATAATCCGTAAACGGTGGGAGATTCTTCTGAACATAATCCCGATTTAGATCGGACTTCCACTGTCGCCATCGATCTCCCATCTTTTTAAGTGCGTAATCTCTCCCCCTGACCTCTGATCCAGGAGGGAACACAAAATACTTCTGCAACTCATTCCAGAGAAGTGTCTTGATGTTGTCGTCCACTGTTTCCCACAACTTGACATTAATGGGACAACGCGTCCTGACTAGAGTGCCACAGGCGTTGCTGAACTTGGACCGCACTATCGGTGGCTCGATGGGCTTCCCATCCTGATCGAGAGCAATCACGTTGTAAGTTTCCTTGGGTAATTTATTCTTGCTTCTCTCACCACGTCTTTTTTTCCCACTCCCGCCTGCACTTGTAGATGTCTCCGTACGTTCAGGTGCAGACGTAGCGGTGTCCATCTCAACTTCTTGCTCTGTCCTGTTCCTCCCGGCTTTACGTTTTGAGCGGCGTCGGACTACCATCTGCACAGAATAGGTAACTCTATACACCATTAGGTTCATGTCACATCATAGTTAGGGAATAATACATGGCTAACGATTTTCATCACTTACGGCCTGTTCGATAGGTATGTAGTCCGGATCATCATCGCGGGGGGCGACTTGTGTTATTTCCATTGGAAACGGGTCACTTGGTGTGCGCCACGTTTCTTCACTAGAAGCGCCTGGATGCTTATTGCTACCGGAATTTTGAGGAGCGTTACCTTCTTGAGGCGCTATTGGTGCGTTCGATGGAACCTTTTCGTTCGACATCTTCCAACTTGACGTAAAAAAATTTGACATAAGTCCCAATTTTACGTAAGTCCCAATTTAACGCAATTTCACATAAGTCTCAATTTGACATAAGTCCCAATTTAACATAAGTCCGAATTATACATAAATCTCAATTTAACATAAGTCCCAATTATACATAAATCTCAAATTAACATAGGTCCCAATTTAGCATAAGTCACAATTAAACAGAAATCTCCATTTGACATAGGTGCCAATTTAACATAAGTCACAATTATACATAAATCTCAGTTTAACAAAAATCACAATTATACATAAATCCCAATATAACATAAGTCTCAACTTAAACATAAGTCACATTTTAACATAGCTGCCAATTTAACAAAAGTCCCAATTATACATAAATCTCAATTTAACAAAGTCCCAATTATACATAAATCCCAATTTAACATAAGTCCCAATTTAAACATAAGTCCCAATTTAAACATAAATCTCCATTTAACAATCCACAATTAAACATTCTCAAAATTAAACAATCCACAATTGCACATATCACAATCCACGATGCACAATTAAACAATCCACAATC